GAAGTTCCTGGATCCTGACTTCGGATCAGCATAGCATCGGCCGTTGCACTCACTTGGGGAATGAATCATCGGATGGAAGATCTTCCTCTCTGTCTCTCCTCTCTGTATATCTGACTTTCCAATAAATAAATAAATCTTTAAGTGAAGAGAATGGAATAAACAATAAGGCAGTCCCAGGTTTTTTTGGTTTTTGTTTTTGTTTTGTTTTGTTTTTGTTTGTCTTTTTAGTTCTATACACAATGGATATTCCTAAATGTGACTAAAGTCATTGCTAACAATTTTCTTCCCTGCTTCACTGTTTCCTTTCATTTACTGATAACTGGTTTTCCCTGAATTTTAAATATTCTCCAAGTAAGAAAAATCCATCAGCCTAATATCTTTCCTGGGTCATTACCAGAGGAACTAATGGGAAATTTAACAGAGCTACTGTTGCACAATTTCCATTAAATCTTGTACTAGTTCAGAAAACCTCTCCACAAAGAAAAAAGGAACTGTTTTTATGTGTTTGGGGGGGAGGGATAAGCATTGGACAAACCTGTGATTTAGAACACAGGCAATCTCCTGAACAGATTACTAATACAGAGCTCTCACCCTTTTAAATAACCAAGAAGACAGAGTAAAAGCAGCACACGTTGCCTCAAAATGAACAATATCTAGTCCTAAATTGACATTTGCCACAATTCATCCTGTTATATGAAACTGTACCACATAATTCAAAATTCAAAATTTTAAAACTTAAAAAAAAGGAGAAAAAAGGCGGAGGGGGCATCTCTTTTTCCTTTTTTCCCTTTCGATAGACATAGATCTGCAATGTAGAACAGGTGTCCCTGAAGTTAGGTTTCTTTCCTCCCAGAGAAAAGGGAACAAAAGTGCTTTCTTATTTAATGATTAAACTTCAAAGACATGGTTACTAACTTCTAGAGGAAGCACTGTTGGGTTGTGTAGTTTGCCTTTAAAAAGCCCTGCAAGTGCAGAGTCAAGATAGCAGAATAGGGTAAGGATATGTTTATACATATCGAGAATTATTAGCCAGAGTAAAGTAGAGAGGGCACATTCCAGAAAATAGTAGAGGACACGCCGTTGGCAGAGGAGCACCTGGAGACTAACATGAGAAAGCAGCGGAGACAACTGTGTGGTTTTACAGTAACCAGATAGCCCAGCGACAGTCAGAGAATGGCGATCAGAGATTCACAAGAGGCTGGAGCTCCGACAGCAACCAGGTGGGAAGGGGAGTTCATTGGGAGCTCAGCAGCTAGACAGTGAATCCAGCCGAAGAACTGCTCATCCTGCCGATTTGTTTGATTTGATCAGGAGCAGAGAGAAAGAACAGTAGATCCCAAACAGGTGGTATAGGAACAGGGTGGATCTCACAGCCCACACCCCCACCAAAGCTTCATCGGGTGCCATTTTGTGCAGTGGGATGGGACTGTGCATAGATTAAGCTGGGAGTGAACTCATTTGTGGCTCAGTGCATTGCATTTACGTGGCATCCTACAGGTTCCACCCAAAACAGATCCAGGTAGCCCCCAGCCATAGTAGCCAGCAGATTTAGAACTCCATGAGTGGCACGTCAGGTACCATTTGCGGCAAAGACTGTGAGACTTCAGGGACAACAGTGAGCTGCACATGCATTTGTGCTGGGAGCAAACTCACTTGCAGTTCAGCGCATTGCATTTGTCTCACAGGGAAAATAATACTAACTTTGGCATCCTATCGGTCAAAATAGGTCAGGGTGACTCTCAGACCTAACAGCCAGCAGGTTACAGCACGATCAGCACCATCAAAAACCTAGTTATTTAGAATACTGGGAACTGCTCAAACAGAAAGTAGAAAAAAGTTTGTATAGACAATGGTGCAGCCTCAGGACAAGATCATGGGAAATAGAGAGTGGTGACCGGGAGTGAGGCCTACAGAGACCACGGTAGAAGTCTAACACAAGAATCCAGACTTGAAATTCACTGGAAGGGGAGGCTCAAGTGACTGCAAACAAACAAACAAACAAAAATCAAGTACCAAACACATCAGCAAAATCAAAATGTAGACCTGTGACACAGCTTAGAATCCTGCCACAAGGAGAAGAATCCGGTAACCAGAAATACAATGACCAAGAGCAAGAGAAGAGACAGAGCGCAATGACTATTACAAAAACTCTCTTGCAAAGAAGCAGTTAACTGAGGAACACACAGAGAAAATGGGGGATACAGAATTCAGAAAACTCATTATAAAGCTTCTTATCAACAACGAGAAGCATACAAAACAGGAGTTCAAAGAATTTAAGCAATATGCCACAAAGGAAATAGCGACACCGAGACAAAATCAAGCCAACATGACATATTGAAAATAAAGGATGCAAATTAAAAATTCAGTGGAAAATCTCAATGAGAAAATGAAAGAGGCAGAAGAAAGAATCTCAGAATTGGAAGATACTTCTAGTCATAATTGGAAATGATCAAAAAGCTGAAAACAGAGCTGGGTCATCAAGCAAAAAAAAGTATTAAAAATTAAGAGGCAGTATTAAAAAGCCAAATATAAGAGTTATTAGAGTTCCAGAAGGAGCAGAAAGAGAAGATGCATTTTAAAAATGTATTTAACAAAATCACAAAACTTCACGGATCTGGAGAAAAAAATTGGGAAACAGAATACAGGAAAGAAACAGACCTCTTAACAGGGTTTACCAAAAGCAATCTTCACCACAAGACATGATAATTAAGCTCCCTTCAGTAGAACATAAGGAAAGATCCTTAAATGTGCACATGAAAAAAATCAATTGACATGTACAGGAATGGCAATCAGATTCACATCTGACCTCTCAAGGGAATTACACAGGCCAGAAGAGAATGCTGTGACATATTTTAGATTCTAAAAGCAAAAAATGTCAGCTCAGGATAACATACCCAGCAAAGCTTTCCTTTGTCTTTTGAAATAGAATAAAATTCTTCCACAGTGAAGAAAAGCTCAAAGAACACCTCTTTCTTACCTGCCTTACAAATGATACTCAGAGATGTTCTCTTGACAGATCTGCCCTACAAATAATACTAAAACTAAAGGCAAATGTGAAGAATATCCCAGTAAAATAACAGCAGAAGACTAAATCAAACAATGAACATTGCTAAAATGACAGGACCAAATTAACACCTATTCATATTAGCTCTGAATGTAAATGACTTAAGCTCATCAATGCAATGTCATAGAATAGTGGACTGGATCAAAAAACAACACCCGTCTATTTGTTGCCTAGAGGAGGCACATCTCACCATCAAAAATCTGCAGAAATTATGGTTCATGGATTTTGATGCTTTTGCTTTTAGTTTCATTTTTTCAAAACATTTTTTTCTCATTAAATTTTCCACTGACTCACAGATCATAGAGTAGCATCATTTTCTTCAGGAAAGTTCTTGATTTTTGTTTCTTCAGCAACACATTGGTCATTCAGTAGAACATTAGTTAACTTCATGGCATTGCAAATTTCTATTTTTCTTCCTGTTGTTGATTTTGTATTGTGGTTTTTCATTTAAGGGTATATGTAGCAACTGTGTAATGCAGACTATCATATCCGGATGTGAGAATACAATGCAGTATGTATTTCTACTTTCAGACCAAAGATGGACTCCCAATGGAACTGTTAATTATATCTTGACAATAGGATGCTGGACTCTTTGTCATTGTCCATGTCTGCAACAATGGGCTTATGCCTGTTTCTGAGGATGTGGGGGGAATCAGTGGCAGAAGGGAGGGGTTTGGAGAGGGAGGAGGAGAGAAGTCAGAGCCTATGAAACTGTATCATAAAATTATAATAATAGTAAATTTTTAAAAAGCTTTCAAGTGTTTCAAAGAGGGGGAAGAAAACACTTTCTAATTTAAAAACGCACAGACTGAAAAGTTTTATGAAGTTTGTTAAGAAAAAAGAAAACAAAAGGTCTTGTTCCTTATTTTCAACAAGGAGAATTTGGTTCACTTTAACTTGTATTTGCACTCAGCGAACCAAAGGATGATCATTTTTTTAAAGATTTATTTATTTTTATTGGAAAGTCAGATCTACAGAGAAGAGAAGAAACAAAGAGGAAGATCTTCTGTCTGCTAAGCAGAGTCAGGAGGTTTTTCCCAGGTCTCCCACAGGGGTACAGGTTACGCAAGGCATTGGGCAACCCTCCACTGCCTTCCCAGACCATTAGCAGGAAACTAGATTGGAAATAGAGCAGCCCGGGCTTGGATAGGTGCCCAAATGGGATGTTAGCGCCACAGGTGGAGGACCAGCAAGCTTCGACACCTAGATGGCCCATGAACAATAATTCAATCTTCCATCTCTTGATCAAGCCCTTGGGGACTAGTGGCACCTTCTGTGTCCCAGAGGCCCTCACTCCTGTCCCTCTCTAAGGCAATGATAACCCCCATCTCCCCCCACACACACCCATCATTTGTAACAAAGTGTCACATTGCAGCCCTACCAGCTGGGTAGGACATCCCTATTGATTTCATATACTTGGCTCTTGTTTGTGTCTTCAATATCAGCCCATTCTGGTAAGTGTGTGAAGTTGCTGCACTGTGGCTCTGATTTGCATTTCCCTACAGGCTGGGAGGCTGAGTTTGCGTTCCTCAGAGCAGTTGTGGGTGATGGGTCTGTTCAAACAAGTGGCCCATTCTGTTCCTGGGCATTTTTTAAAATGAGTTGCCAGAATCCTTTCTAGCTTCTATTTTCTACCAGCCTGTGGTTTGACTTTAGGTCAACCTTGATGTTTATTTTGAAACAAGGCTTCCCCCCCTAGCTGTTCTAAGGCCACATAATAAATGTAAGCATCTCAAGCGGAAAAACTTACACAGAACTCAGCCTGTGTTGGGCCATAGGCTTCCCTTGGGACTTGAAGCCCTTTCTGACCGGCAACAGCGTCCACACACCCTGGCCCATGAAGACGCCCTGCGTGTGAACACCTCCAGAGCTCCTCCCCAGCCACTCCATTCGTCACAGACACACTGATCGCTCCAGCGCTCTCTACACAGATGGTCAGAGCCACACAGTGCCTTCTCTAAGTCAAGAGCGAACTTTTCTGGCAGAGCCCACGCACCAGAGGGAAGTGGTCAAAGCCATAAAAGGACAGAGTGGAAAGCACAAGGACCGAGGATGGGGAACTTTCCACAGAGGGAAAGCAGGTGAGTCCAGACTCCCCATGAGAGGTAGCAAGTCGGGGTAGGACAGTATACAGCCGCCCAGGATTGGGAGTTGGGGTGGGGGGAAGGGAGCAGTAGGAATTGGTAAGGGATCTGACAAGAATCCAAGAACTACTGTGTGCCAGGTATGGTTTTAATACCTTACAGGTTTTCACCTCTTCCCTGCAGTGGCAGACAGCTGGTGGGGAAGAACTGGGAAGTGGGAACACCAACTTCATCAAAGGAGGTCTTTGTATCAGGGGCCACCTGAGAATCAGAGACCTTTCTCCAGGCCTGGGGAAAAGATATTCTTGGGCTGTCAATGCTGCACAAGATGCTCAAAGACGTCTAAGACTTTCATCTCCATTAAAGTTCAGGTTCCACAGCCAGGTTCTTACCACCTCCTGCCTCCTTGGGTGGGTGCACACACCTCCAAGCAGAGGGGCAGAGGTGGTCTCAATCCGGAGAGCAACTGGCTTGACTGTGTCTACCATGGAGAATTCTAATGTGTTTGGTGACAACAGAATGGATGAAGTTGTCTATGGAGGTCTTTATCTGACCAGGAATGTCTTTACTGGGTTATGATTTATGATTCAGTTTATGCCACTAGAAAGTGGAGCAAAGGAGACTTGGTGGTCCCAAAGGATGCCTCATTCCCTTCCTGAGAATCACTGTTGCCTGAGAATTCTTTTTCTGAGTCCCCAAAGCCCTTGGCTAGGTGATCCTTCACACCATAACTTTTCTTCAAAACCAGTGCCATTCCCTACTGAACAAGTACAACTCTTGGAACTGCTCCTAACGTGAAAACCACAGAATCTCAGCATCACTGACCGCACTGCCAGTCTCAGGGACATGCTGGCGATTCCTAGACATTTATAATTAGATGTGGAGAGTGGACAGAGGAGAACATAGGCAGGCTACTGCTAGGGCAGTGGAATGAGCAATCAGTTCAAAGATACACGGGGATAAACTTAGAAGGGGGCATTAACAGGTGCATGAAAGTTATTCCGCAGTTACATACATATTGCAGAGATGAGGAAACATCTAAAAAATGTGAAAAGAAATGGGGATGCTAGAGTGGAAACCTTAGCCCATCTCTGATATGTTGAGTTTCAGGTGGCAGCAGGACACTCAAGAGATGCCTTGGAACCTCAAAATCCAAAATGTCAAACAGAGAGCATCCAGGTAAGCACCAGCGTGCTGGACTTCTTATATCCTCTGCCCGAAAGAAGGAAGTCAGGGAGATTACCATGGACTCCCCTGCCCCATGACAGAAAGCCCTGCTTTAGACTTAGCAAAAGTTGGAACAGTGTTAAATGGGAGAACAGGAAAAAAATAAGAACCGCTGGAAAATTTGGGTGAGAAATGTGATAATTTATCAGGAGTCAAGTGTAATCCCTACTAGTAAAATAAAGGGTCTTAGTTCCTGCTGTACCTTTGCTTATCTCAATTGCCCTGGTTCCTAAGCTCCACCCTGGCCATTTTGTGTTGAGTTCTAGGTTTCTGTTTCTGAAGTGACCTTTTCCCTTGCATGATGAAGGTTATCAAAAGGTATGTGGAAAGGCTCTGTAATTACCCTGAAGTTATCAATCAATCCTTTCTAATCAGGCCTTTAGAGTGCCCAGCCCTAAAAATTCCCATAATGAAGAAAATCAATAAAATACGAAACTAACATCCCAGGATTCAAGATTCCTACAGGACCGACAAAATCAGGTGCCTTGAGTGGCATGTGGAGTTATCTTCATTTTCCCTATGGGTTTAATAGCTTTTAATATGAATAGCATCTACAAAAACTAGCACTGACCCAAGACTCATGAAGAATCTGGGGACCTGGAGAACCCCCCAACGGAATATCATATAATTAGGGCAGGTATGATGGGGCTCATGTTAACATATAGTCCAAATAATGAAACAGATGATTAAGACCATCGTCTTCATAATGAGGTAAATTCCCAATAGACTAGAACCCTGGGAAAGCTGTGTAAAATAAATAAGATATTGGAATTGCTGACATGTAACCTGATGTCACTGAGATTTGTTTGACCTGCTGCAGGTTACCTAAACCTATCCCCAACCCCAAAGCATCCATACTGAAATGCAAGAATACCTTGCAGAAAAGTTAAGTAGGGAAAATTTGCCACTTACCAATCATTTCGGCCCATATTTAACTTTATTTGATCATTATAACCCCAGTTGTAAGGTAAACAATATGCATCTTCTGTTTATAGATTGAGAAATTGGCTTAGAGAGTTTGATCAGTAGTTCAAAATCAACCATTCCCTTTTGTTTCACTGTCATATCTCATTGGTGGACTTGGTTTCTCAGCATTAGTTTGGCTCAGCTGTTTCTTTTGTGATAGTTCTTAGCAACAGATGTGTGGGTTGTAAGAGTCGGGTACTCTTTTTCTATGGCTATAGCAAAATGTATAAGTCTGGGTGAAGGAAATAGAAGTTCATTTGGTTCACAGTTCTAGAAGCTGAGAAATTCAAAAATTTGGCATCCTGCGAGAGTCCTCTTGCTACAGTGTGACATGGCAAAGGACATCACGCATGGCAAGATGGAGCAAGTGTGTTGGCTGGAGTCTCTGTCTTCTTACCAGGCTACTGATGCTATTCTGGGAACACCAGCTACATGGCCTCCTCTAATCTTAATTGCCTCTCAAAGGAAAACGCACTAGGGAGTTTGGACGGTGTTCCAAGTTTTTCTATAACTGGTCCAGGCAGTATTTTAGGCAAGGCTTACCATTGAGCCATGTAGACCAGAAGGCTGCTTAGACTTTCACCTGGGGATCAGACTGCAGAGGTGCTATGACTTTGTGACTCAAAAGGGACAAATCTCCAACTTCACCAATGGAGTCTGTCAAGGTGATCCACTTGCTTGTCTCTTATGCCAGTTGGAGTTGTTCTATTCTTACCAGGAGTTGTTCTATTCTTACCAACTCATTTGCCATTTCTTATCTCCTACAAACATATTTGCTGTGTGTCAAACACTGAGGCACACACTGATGATTGATACCACAATGAAGGAAATAGATATATGGTCCCCAGCTGGCAAAGCATATGTTCTAGCATAGGGTACAGTCACGTGAGCAGACAATTACAATACATTATAAAAAGAAGAAATCCAGGAAGCAGTGAAGTTTGTCTGTTCCATTCTGAAAGAAATGACTTGCAAAATGTCCATACACTTGAGCCTGGATTGCTGGAAAATTATTATTTGTCACCTTTTCATCCTCAGGAAATCACAGGAATTGGTGTCATTGGAGATGAATAAAACTTTTCCCATTTCTGGGAATATAGCAGGAAGTACTTTCACCCTATTAAGAAACAGTGGTGTCATCTGCATCTTAGGAGGGGGGAAGCATTCTCTCAATGGATATACCCAAGTCACTTACGGCTTATTTTAGGAAACAGGGGTTTTTCTGCAGAAACGGTGATGGGAAGGGAGTCCCCTTAAAAAGCTGCAAAAAACCAGTCTTATGATTCATGGTTACCTCTCTTGGGTATTTTAGATGCTGGAATCGCCATTTCAATGAAGGGTGTTTCTGCCTTCCTTGGTGAGTGGGAAGTTGTTTTCAGAGCTATTTCCCCAAGGGTGGTTTCGACGAGGGTATTTTCTGTAAGTTACCTGTGAACTCTGTACCGTCTGTGGTCACAGTGGAAGCCAGTTGCAAGCCCAGACACAGTCACCTGAGAGTTAATCAGGGAAGCGAACCTTTGAGTGCGGTGAGAAAACAGGAACAGCAGTCTCATGAGGGGGACTCTGCCCTCAAACAGTCTAGCCTCAGAGGCAAGGATGGACCTGGCAGCCCATGTGCACATCCCTGCGGCACACAGTCCTGTCCCTTATGCAGAGAATTGATATTCAATGGGATAGTATGATATACAAGTTATCTGCTAAACAGAGACACCTGTGAGTGAAAGATATGCTAAAAATATATTCATGATTGCCATTGCTATATGATGATAATGACATTAACCAAACTGAACAGATCAGAACATATTGTCATGCCTCTTATAGATCTCTCTATATATGGAGAGAGAGAGAATAGATAAATTAGATAGATAGATAGATAGATAGATAGATAGATCAATCAATCGGCAGATAGATAGATAGACAGACAGGCATAGCATTTTTCTGAGGGTTCTTCTCTACATTGCATTCTTATTAAAGGTAGGGGTGTGGGGTGGGGGGAGGACTTTAGAGATTACAACATCAGGATTGGGAACAAAAATAATTGAAGCACCTTCATTCACATGCTGTAAAAGAAACTATGAATCTGACAGGAAAAAAAAGAAGCTATCCAATAAATGGTAGAATCATCATAGTTCTGTATCTAAAAATCAATTCCATGCCAAATTTAGAAAACAGATGAGAAAGAAATATGTATGTTTCTACTCAGCATCATCTCTCATCCTTTCTTTTCTAACTCCTCTGTACTGAGGGAAGTGTTGTGTTGTATAATTTTAGCACATTGTGAGGTTTGTTCATAGTTCCTACATATCAAAATAACCAACTGATTTTTTTTTCTTTTACAGGAAAACAATAAGCCTTTTTAAAGCAAGACGAGATTCACACAAGGAAAGTAAGTCATTGCTTTGCCATCATTTTCCCTTTGGAGGGATGGACTCACATTTCCCTGGTGCTCCTTCTCTGTGCTCCCTAAAGGCTTATTTCTACAAGACCCACTCATATCTCCTCATTTTGTTCAGTCACCCATGTGTATTCCCCATGCAATTGGGAGCTCACAGGAGCAGGGACCACCTTCCAGATCTTCATATTCTTTAGAGCCTGTGGGTCTGGAGGCTGAAGGAGTTGACACAGATTAAATGCAAAGGGTGGAGGCAAAAGGTACTAATGACACAGCACAGGGACAGGGCGGTAGGGCCTAGGTTGGGAGTTTGCCTTGGGAGCCATAAGAGGCTCCAAGGGACCTTGCAAGGGACAGATCTGGTCAGATTTGCGTGGCCGGGATCAACCCAGCTGCTGTGTGGAGAAGAGATTGTAGCAGGGAGTAGACAAGTTAATGCCAGAAGACCACAAGAAGGTGCCCAGTGGCTGATTGGTGCTGAAGTCAGGGAGAGAGAATTCAAGACAATGAGGGTGATAAGGAATATTCCTTGTAAGAGACGGAGAGATTGAGAGATGTGTAAGCCTGAAGAACAGTGCAGAATATTTCTGAAGAAATAATAAGGGATTTTGACGTTACTTTCTTGAGTTTTAATGAGAGCAGGCTTGTTCATTCACACTGAATCTTCTTTTTTTAATGAAGGATTTCTACTTCATCAAAGACCTTCTTTTCTATTTTTATTTTTTTGTAATATTTATTTATTTTGGACCTGGCCCAGTAGCCTAGTGGCTAAAGTCCTTGCACTTGCTGGGATGCCATATGGGCGCCAGTTCCTGTCCCAGATGCTCCACTTCCATTCCAGCTCCCTTCATGTGGCCTGGGAGGGTGGTTGAGAAAGACCCAAAGCGTTGGGACCCTGCACCCACATGGGAGGCCTGGAGAAGGCTCCTGGCTCCTCACTTTCAATCGGCTCAGCTCTAGTCTTTGCGGCCACTTGGTGAATGAACCAGCAGATGGAAAATCTTCCTCTCTCTCTCTCTTCCTCTCTGTATATCTGACTTTCCAATAAAAATAAAATAAATCATTTTTTAAACTAAAAGAAAAATATCAGATTTATAGAGAAGAGAGTTATTTATAGAGAGGAGAGAAGAAAGATCTTCCATGCACTGGTTCACTCTGCAAGTGGCTGCAACAGCCAGAGATGAGCTGATCCAAAGCCAGGAGCCAGGAGCTTCCTCCGGGTCTCCCACACAGGTGCAGGGTCCCAAGGCTTTGGACCGTCTTCAACTGCTGTCCCAGGCCACAAGCAAGAAGCTGGAAGAGAAGTGGAGCAGCCGGGATATGAACCGATGCTCATATGGGATCCCAGCGCCATCAAGGCTAGGCCTTTAGCTACTAGGCTACCACGTCAGTCCCCACACTGAATCTTAAAAACCAGCCTTGTGAGGTGTGTATATGAGTACTGCAGCCCTCCCACCCCTTGCCATTTCATTCCAGGGAATGATGGGCACCAGGAAACTCCAATCTCCAGTATAGCAAAATGGGATAGAAATAGACTCCTCCCCTCACTCCATGCTAAAACTCACAAGCCCTCATCTTAGAATGATAGGCCCCATGTCCTGGAAGGCCATAGGAGCATAGGGAAGAGTAAGCATCGGAAATGTCAGGGCTAGGGTGTAGTAATCCACATAGCACAGGTGGTCTACACAGAGGTGCCTGCCTGCTGTGCAGGCATCCGGTGAGGGTGCCGCCTTGCTGAGTGAACGGTAGGGCAGGAAAAAAAATAGCAAGTGTATCCGGCCTCTTTGGTGAACAGCCACAGCGAGCTAGTTTTAAGGAAGTTGGCTTTTGAAAACTTGGCGGGCTTGTGTTCACATCTCCCAGTAGGGCTTAAGAGTTTCCTTTTCTGTGAAACTATTCTGGAGCCTGCTGCAGGCGTCTCCTGCTGCTCACAGGGGAAGCACCGGGCTCTGCCTGCACAGCATGTCCCTGGGAACCCCTGCCTGCCTTGCACACCAGCCTGTGTGCCCCCTGAGGACAGGGATGGAGGAGGGAGGATTCCTCTCTGCAGGCCCATGTGGTGCCTCCCTCCCTTCGGCTGTCCCTGGTTTGGGAGATCCTATTTCTGCTGAGAAAGAAGAAAATCAGCAGAGCCTGGTGGGACCGACTCCAGCTGCTACTGAGCTCTCTGGGTGCTTACATCCCAGCCACTCTGGCCCCAACCACACCTCCTCACTGCCTGAAAGTCATTGAATGTGTTTTGTTTTTCTTTCCTGCAGATGAAGGAATGTCATCAGCTCCCAGCCAGGTAACAACAGCCTTTTCCTGGGATAACTGCCACCCCACACATACAGTGAAAGTTGTCAGGCCCCCTCTGACCCTAAGTCAGACTTATATACCAGTGCTTGTGAACCCAGGGGCTTTATGCAGAAGCAGTAAGGACACCTGTTGCAGCTGCTGAATGAAACAACCATGCCCTGAGCACTTCATTTATGACAGGCCATGAGCTGGAGGATTCCATGTACCATCTCACACAACTGTTACTACAACCCTGTAATATCGGTTCTGTTGCTTTCACCTGATCTAACAGATGAGAAAACTGAGAGGATAACATGTTACCTGTGTTTACTCAGCCCTCCCAAAGCCAGACAGCTGGCAAGGGGTAGAGCCAGGATTCAAAAACCAAATCTATACTGCTTCCCTTATACTGTGCTAAAGTACAGAAAGTTCCAAATATTCCATTGCGAATGAGACGTTAAGCTATTTGTTTCCTTCCCTCCCTACCCTTGTCCTCCCTCCTTTTTGTGCTTCCTCCCTTCTTTGCTTCCTTCCTTCCTTCCTTGTCTTTTTGTCTTTAGCAAATATCTCCAGAATGGGCAGCTAAATATCTTAACTCAATCATATTAAATGTCATCATCAAATTGTTGGTTTTTTCCGGAGAATGGTGGTGAGACTTTGGGAGTTACTTGGGGTGGGCAGGATCACCCTGGAGCATGAATCAGAGAAGACACAACTGTATGCCCTTATTGTATGGGCACAGTTTCTGCCTAGTTTGGGGGGTGGAGTAGAGGAGCAGCAGCCTGTTAGGAGAAATGGCCACAAGATGGAGAGGAAGTGGTCATGGATGACCACCTGCTACCTAGGGCCAGATCTAGGTTGACTGCAGTATGATGGGAATGGCAGGAGGTCAAATCTTGATGGCAACTGCCCTCTCTGCCCAGCAGGAGAACGCTGAGCAGCACTACTCGGAGGAGCTGTGCTATATCCTCATCAATCACAGAGTCTTTGGGGAAAGGCCAGCGAGCAGCTCCACGGAGGAGTACTATGAGAATGTTTCCCAGAAGCCTGCGAAGCCTTGCGAGTTCTCGGAAGGAACTGAGACTGAGTACTCGCTTCTTCGTGTGGCCCCCACCCCGAGGCCCCCACCTTCCCCGGAGGACGAATATGAACTTCTGGTGCCCAGCAGAAACTTCTCTCACTTCCCACAACAACCACACTCTTGTAGGGTCCCTTTGGAGGTGTCCTTTTCCTGTTCAGGATGAAAAGTGATCAAGTTGGCCTTTGAACCAGTACTAGCAGAACTGCAGGGGGGAGCTGCATGAAGCAAGCATGGGGCTCAAGGCTTGCTTCCCACAGAGCATGATTTGCAAGCCCTCGTATGCCACCCAGTATCCCACACCCACAGTTCAACCAGACATCCTAACTCTGCTGTTTTGAGAAAGCAATCACCTATCTTTGGTTTCAAGTGGGACTGGAAGTGCTTGGTGCAGAGAAAGGCTCCCTGACCCAGTCCTTCTCTTCTGATAGAGTTCTTTAAGAAGACCCCACAGCTACTCTCTGAAGTTGTCAAGAAAACTCATCATGCAAAATGTACCCAAGTGGGGACTCACTCATTATGCAGACCTTCCAGCCCAGCCCTGCAGTGAGCTCCATGCTTTCCATGGTGTATTTTAACTCATCAGCCCTCAATTACACAAACTGATTTAGGAGGTGCTTTTCAGCTTTTTATGTAGTTGTAGCACACATATTTTTTTCTATTTCACACTTCTCCTTATGAATCTAAGATAATCATAACACCCAAGAACAGAGCATATAGATCTTTTGAGATTCTTTCATTTTACTGTCCTGACGCAAAAAGTATTATTTTCCCAGAGATCTAGAAAAAATATTTGTATAACATTATCCAGATTTTTCTGGCTTTCAATTTGATGTTCCTATGATTTACTACATAGAAGATCCTCTAGTATTTAGTAAATGCCTGTGCTGAATGATATTGTATGTAAACTGTCATCATGGGAAGAGCAGTACACACACACATAGATTCACACTCTAATGAGTGCTTTTCTATGTGCCTAGATTATGCAGCTCTTTTAATCTTTTCTTTAGTGTTCCTTGGATTCTGTCTATCCCTTACACCAGTGGTCAGCAAAGTATGGCCCCTAGTCCAGTCTGAAGCACCACTCAATTTTATAAAGTTGTATTGAAGCACTGCCTTTGATTTGATAACATGTTACCTGTGTTTACTCAGCTATGAAAGCTGAGCAATTGTGACGCAGACCACAGGCTCTGTGACATAGACCACAGGCTTTGCAAAGCCAAAAATATTCCTGTTTTGGCCCTTTCCAAAAGAAAAAAAATTCCAGAAAATATATGCTCCAGATTTCATAATTTGAGAGCAAGTTTTAACAAAAGTGTGTTTGACTATCTGCAAAACTCCTAAAAGTGGATGTCAATCAAATGGTATGAAAATATTAAACCACAAATTAGATGCATGATGCCAAGAACAATGAGCAAATTAGACTATTTCCATGTTCACTTTCATTTTCAACCTGTTGTTTTCTTTAACTCATTTGCCACTGTACTAATTTTAAGAATAATAACATGGTAAGAAGTGGAGCAAGCAGAAAGTATGTTATGTGTTTGATTACTCTTTGATTGTGGAAGCTAATCAAAGATGGATAACTTCAATATTACAGTGTATTCAGAGACCAGTGAGGATTATTGCAAACTTGATTTGGATATTCTAGTATTGGGTGCTACACCTCAGCCTCTTGATGTCTTCAGCTAAAGAGCCAATCATCTTTCTGTCTTGCCCTCTGCTAACTTCTTGCCTTTAGTAGTTTTCTTTCACATGGAACTCTAACTGTGATCCTTGTGCAGAGGGAGGTGTGCATGGTAGCAAGTCAAGAAGACAAGCAAGACGGGGCATGGCGTAGGAGAAGAGTGCAGGCCTGGACAGAGAGAATCCATCATTCAAATCCTCAGCTGTCTCTTCCTTCTGTGACCTTTAACCTGATAACTGGGCATTGGACTTTCTCACTCATAGACAGTAGCATTGTAATGTTTGCAAATCATGTATCACAGACTGCAAATAAATGATGATAGAGTAAGGAGAAACCCGAATCTTTCATTCCATGTAGAGACAAACATACTGATGGGTCTTTTGATTCAAGTTTCCCCCGCAGTCCTCCAGAAACATCCAACTGATCGGGTGTGTGTGGAAATTTTTCACATGGATACTGGACCATTGTAGAAATTTGTCGATTGAAACATTCTTATTATGTGATCAGTGAAGTGGCACAGTAGGTTAAGCAGCCACCTATAATGCTGCCATCACAAGTGGTTCAAACCCCACTGCTCCACATCTAACAGAGCTCCCTGCCAATGCACCTGGGAAAACCACAGATGATGCTCCAAGTGTTGGACTTCTACTACTCACGCAGGAAGCCTGGAAGGAGGCCTGCATGAAGTTACGGGCTCCTAGCTTCAGACTGGTCATGCGCCAGCAGTTGTGGCCTTTGCAGAATAAGCCAGCAAATGGAAATTCTTTTTTCTCTTTTTATCGCTCACTCTAACTCTGCCTTTCAAATAAAAAACTAAATCTTTAAAAGAAAAATTTTAGTACAACATGATATGATTAGTTTGAGCCTTACCCTGTGAAAGCAGTTTCGGTCCCAAACAGATTATGCCTTTCGTCAAACTTATGTTTGTTCTTATGTTTATAATTGTATGTATTTGTATTATAACTATATTGACTATAAATGGTTAATCAAGGAAAGTTTTTTATACAGTTATATTAGATGAATTATAAAAGGGAATCTTGTTTGAAGAGGGCCCTTTGAGAGTGCTTCAAAGTAACCCCCATGATGCAAATGATTATAATCTGTCCATCAAAACCATTATTAGTAACTTTACAAAGAAAAAGCCATGAGGAAAACATAAATGCTTAATGTATCTAATGTGTAAAATATTTCAATTTTTTAAAAGATTTATTTATTTTTATTGCCAAGGCTGATCAGATTTAGAGAGGAGAGACAGAGAAAGATCTTCCATCCGCTGGTTCACTCCCCAAGTAGATAAAAATGCCCGGAGCTGAGCTGATCTAAAGCCAGGAGCCAGGATATTCCTTGGGGTCTCCTACATGGGCGCAGGGTCCAAGGCCTTGGGCCATCCTATACTGATTTCCCAGGCCACAAACAGGAAGTGGGATGGGAAGCGGGACATGAAACTATGCCCACTTGAGATCCTGGCACATGCAAGGCAAGGATTTAGCCACTAGGCTATGGCACCAGGCCCAGAATGGTTTGAATTTTCTAGAAAATAAATTTTAATGTGAAAAAATATACTCTGTGTCTATATGTAATGTTGATTCTGTTTCCCATAGATTTTTGGATTTCTCATGCAAAAATTTTCTCTGACAAAAATGCACATACACATTTGGAAATGACTTCAAGCCATTAGGCATGAAGTCCCTTAGTTTAAGAACTCCCTGTTCCAGATCAAGTAACAGCCAGGCACTTCTTCTCTCTAGTCATAAATATAACCAGAAAACTCATCCTCCCCCATGTTGGTCTTAAAACTGTACAAATAGCCAGGATTCCGATGCACAATTTACGCAGCAACTGCAGGCTTTGTGGTTTCCGTTTCACATTCATAGTAGCATCTATAAATATGTCTTTACTCTTTGAATTAATTCTTATTTAAAACAGAAGAAATAAGAGGGCAAAGCTCAGATGGGGAAATCTGAGAATAAGTTCAAATACTGATGGTTTTAGGGCAGACCTAGGTGACAGTTAATGCAAATATTCTCAGGGATGGAACAAAACAGGCAGAACAGAAAATAAAATGTGTCTCCAGAGCTTCATAGGAAACTACAGAGAAAAAGAGGTTTGGATTACAATGACAACTCCTCTTTTCCTAGCCTAGTCGCCTGCATTCTGATCTCAGCGTTCCTTGGCTCTGTCAGCTACTAAATGGAGCAGAATCAATCCCTTCCTCTCTCAAAGGTTATTCCACAAGATGACGTATTGACTGCTCATGTCAATCAGACACTGTCTTCCACAATCTGATGGCCATACCTCTCGATCCATTCCTTGCCCCCAACCACTCGTGCTGCTTATGGATTCCCAGATATCGTCAAGCCTAAACTCAGAAAAGCCCTAGGGTCCTCTACGCAGCAAGAGACAGATCCTCATGGGAGGTAGGCTGGGTTTTGCCCCCTAAAAACTGTAGACCTAAGGACTGGCCCTTCCAACTCTCTAGGCCTTGGTTTCCCAGTGCTGTCTCATGATGTTAGCAGTCTATACTCGCCAGTCATGTAGGAAAGGTTAGAGGGGTCTTTGAACAAAACTGCCAGCAGTGCAGCACTCGTGTGAATTATTTTGAGCAATGAAAGAGGAATGGAGAAGGTAAGATTTGACAGATTTTTGCCCAATTTTGTTAGCACTGATCAGACTCTGAATAGGGTAGAAGTTCATGACCAAAGTCCACATGTGAAACAGGAGAGAAGGAATGAGAAGACAAATCTATTTACTCATACCCCATTGTTGCTCCAAGGTTCAGCTGCAGTCCCACTTCCTAGGCAAAGTCTTTTCCAACTAAAATGCACACTGATGACCGACTACCCACAGCCCTACAGCTTGACCCAGAGCTGAACACCTCACAGACAAAGGCTGTTTTCCCCAAACACAATAGGTGACACCTATAGTCAACAAGGTTGGTTCTTAACAGTTGGCTGAAAAGTTAAACCTATGGAAAATGTTCTTTCTCTGACTTGCAAATAGCCAAGACAAAGTACATTCATCCTGCTGTTTTCCAAAGGAGGAAGGGAGAGCAAAACCAAACTGTTTCCAGACATGATCAAGGTCCTTCTTCCAGTCCCAGAATATTTTCAGATGCCACATCCTGCCAGAGAGGGTCTTTAGAAAAAGCAGTGGGCATAGATAGCCTTTCCCAGCTCCACTGCAACAGGGAAAAGAAACTATCCCACCCTTACCCACTGCAGGTCCATCTTACTCAACAGAGAAAGCTGCTCTCAGGGAAATGAAAGATCACTTTCAATTTCACTCAGTGCAAGAAAATGCCAGGCCCAAATGTAGCTTGGGAGTTTCAAGACTCACAAGGCAAATGCAACAACACAGATTCAAAAATAATTTATTATGTTTTGATATCATTCTCTATGAAAAAGTTTATTTTATAAAAAGTACAAATACACAAATGCTCACACTTCCATGTAAAAAAATAGAGGAGGAAGGGAAATTCACTGGTTTTACTAGTTTAAGGAACCATCCCTATAATGAGATAAGAAGTTTGTTTGCATCTTCCAGTTGAATAAGAAAGCAAACTCTTCATTACTCAAGCTCTTGGGGTCAGGTTCAGTCTAGCCCGAGACATCCACTCCAACATACCCAGAGAGCTGCCCTTCACACTGACTTCTCTCCAATGTGACTGGAGCTGCAATATTAGCAAATGGAACTCTGTCCTTTTGTCACCATAAACTCCATCCGAGATCATTTCTAGCAAAATGATATTCCCAAAAAAAGAAATTCTTTGCTCCTTGATTTGTAGACACCAGGTAAAGTTGTTAATATTCCTCCCAACCCCCAGAACATGGATGGGGCATTAATCTTTCAACGGCTTATTTCTAAAGGAGAAAAGAAGTTCTTCCTGTCTCAGGACCATCCATAATGAGATACAATTAGGGTCTGAAGATGCTGAGTCCCACAAGCAAGCTACCAACACCAGGCAATTTGCATCCTATGGGAGCCATCAATAGCAGCCATTAGGCAATATGAATGATTCTGATCAAAGTTTATAAAAATTCAAATGGGGTAGCTATCCAAAAACAATGGTAGTATACTCAAAACTCAAAGGGACCCTTGTTTCTACAAGAGGTGTCCAGGAGTCACAGGAACAATGAGATTCAAAGTTAAAAAGCAGCTATCTTGTTTCTGGAGCCAGTCACTCTGGCCACCTGCCACTCCCTTGCTCCACCAGCACAGGCTAGTAGATCTTCCATGAAAGGAGGTGGTGCATCATCCCTGCATTATAAGAAAGTATCCACATGTGGGTGGAGGCAGCCATTGCTTGGAGAATACCGGCATCAAACTCTGGGATCCATCTTCCTGTCCCATCAACTCTCCCAGCCCCTCTCTGACTTTCTGCTTTGTCAAGACTGGAGCGAATGCCCTACTAGGGGCAGCACTTGGAGTTGGTATGCTGGATGTGGAGCCAGACTTTGTAAGCATGCAGAGACAGAAAGGACAGTCCTTATCCCTCTGATCATTTGCCAGGCTCTTCTAACATTAATCCACATCAGAATGGATTCTCTTCATCTCCAAAACTCAATGGCACTTCATTCTGGAAAGAAGACACAGGTGAACCAAAGTTACTCATTTAAAAAATCCTGATTAAACACGAATACTTTCAGTTGATGGAATTTGAATATACAGTCTGAGGTAAAACTGAAATATTGTAAATTCCTAACAGAGGAAGCTTACTAATGCACACATGTACACAGACACATGAAAACATTATTATGAACACTTCTCAGAAGACAAACAGTGTTTATGGTTGGCTTTTTTGGATCTTTTTTGTAATCTAACCCATTAAAAACATCGTTCTGATCAGGCTTCTTGTCATTCGGTTCTCTATGACTTCAGTTTTTTCAAATGTGTACAGTGTAAGGTAAGACCTGCAAACAGGCGAGATGACGTGCAGCTGGCTGCTGCTGACGCAGGCCTAAACAGACCCTGCACACGGTGGGCTGTGCAGATGTGGGTTGTGCAGCTGCGTCCCAACCACAGCTGAGCTGACATTTGGACTACATGACTGATGCAGAGAGCTGCCCTGCGTGCACTGGCAGTTTGGTGGAAACCCTGATAAACATCCACTAGATGCTAAGTTCCTGTGTATTTGCAACTAAAAATGACTCCTAACATTGCCAGGATGTGCCCTATTGAGAACTGGTCAGTGCCTCACAGTAAGACTTCCCACTGACCCTGGGGAATCCATTTCCCTTGATACTGCAGGAAGCTTTCTCAAGGACAAAACACGTATGCTTGCCTTACGGGTCGTCACTCAGCAATTTATCCAGAAATGTGCCTGCAAGACCTGGCTGGAGTTCTTCATCCTCTCTCACACATGTCTTTTTTTTTTTTTTTTGCTTTCTTCCTCCCCCTGTTTACCAGGGGATCCCTTCCTGTGAAACAAAGAGAACTAACCTGTGTCCAAATGAACTCATGGTTCACTTTTTTACTTTTTTAAGAGAATTTCCCATCCATTCATAAGGTGACGAAGCAAGGATGAGAAGGATGAGGGATGGGGGATTTCGATATCCATTTATAACCCATGTGAAAAGAACTTTTTTTAAGGCATCAAAATTTTCCTTTAGCCAAACCAAAATCATCACAATATAGAGATCCCCTAGTATCCATAGGGGATTGGTTCTAGAACCCCCATAAATGCCAAATCCACATATCTCAACATGGAATTCTATCTAGAATGGTATAACATCTGCATTTAGCCCATGCACACCCTCTTACATACTTTAACTCACCTCCAGATTACTTAGAATATCCACCACAATGCATATGCTATGCAAATAGTTGATTGCACTGCTTAGGGAATTATGACAAGCAAAATTCCTCAGTGTGTGTTCATAACAAACACAATTTTCCCAAGTATTTTTCAACCATGTGTACTTGATACTGGACCGAAAGATGTAGAGAATCAACTTTACCCCTATTTTCTTGCCAGAGAATGGGCTTTGTACACATACACACATACACACCCTCATGAATCCTCGTCACAACCTGATACAATGCCCTGCTTCCAAAGCGAACAGGCACGAACCCCAGTGGAATCCTTGGAACCCCTGGACCTGCACTGGGAAGCACATGAGCTTTCCTCCTGTCTGGGGAAAAGACACAGGACTGTCTTCACGTATCCCAAGGGATACAAACCAAAAATGTTAAGGATATTTGTTCTCAGGGACCTGCATTTGGTGCAACCGGTAAGACCCTACTTGGGATGTCTACATCCCATACTGGAGTGCCTGGGTTCAAGTCCCAGATACACTCCCGATTCTAGCTTCCTGCAAATGCAGACCCCAGGAAGAGGTAGAAGATGGCTCCACAAATTATGTCCCAGCAATGCACATCAGAGAACAGGTCAACTCCCAAGCTCCTCGATGGCCTGATCCAGCATTGCTGATCCAGGTGTCTAGGGAGTGAACAAGTAGATGGCACAACTCTTCCTTTCACATGAAAAATATAAATACATTCTGTAGAATAATTTTTGTTCTCAGAAGCATTAAAATACTATCACCATATGGGAAAACAGTGGCCACCCAGTCATGAGGATACGAGTCACATCACCAAAACTCCAGTTCAAATGAACATGAGAAACCAGCCAAAGAATCCCCCTGGGCCCTCTTAGTGCCTCCCTGCCCTGACACATCCTTCCCTCCCATTAGAGATTGATTCCAAGCTCATCTCTGCTTTGCCTGCGACCTTTTCTAAGATCTCCTTCCTTCTTTCTGCTTGGTCTCTATCTGCCCTCACTTTCGAAACAGGTGGAAACTACAACCCTGAAAATGGGCCAAATACAGCCCATTCATGCCCCAGAAAGGGAACATGAGGTTACAGAAAAACCCCAAAGAAGACAGGCCTGGGAAAAAGTCTCCAGAGGAATAGAGACGTTTGAGCCACAACCTTGTGACCATGGGCACTGTCTCTAAGGCTCTTAGTTGATGCTCAACCATCTTGGATTTTCTGCAATCTGTTCAACTGTCCGTCCTTTCAACTCCAATTTTCTTGCTGTACTGCTTACCATAGAGCAAGAGGGATGTGAGATCGAGGCCCAGACTCTCACAACCAGGTACGTTTTGATCATGAAAATTCTGCATCAAAATGCCCAGCACCAACTCCTCACTCATCATATACTTCATGAAGTCATCGTCTTCGGGAACCCCAAATTGCAATTGATAAGTCACCGTAGCATTTTCACCACTGAAAGACAACCCAACAGAAATATCAAAACACATTAACCAAAATGCCTGGCAACCCAGAAATCCATGTGAAACAGCCACAGGTTCTCAGTTACTGCTGTCAGCACAATAGTTACTATCGTACAGTTATTGGGCTTGCAACCAGTACACAATGGTCTCCAGTATTCTGTCCAAGCAGAACGTTTTTCCAGGGACACATCCCCAAATGCTGAAATGGGCAGTTAACTGCCTTCCACACCTGGTCCCTAACCCATGGCAGTTCACAGAAAAGGGCCATCAAAGGGAAAGCCATCATGACCCAGCTACGCTCAAGGAATACCCAAGGGGTGATCGGCCCCAACACCAGCCTTCTGTCCCTTCCAACAAGCCAAGAAGTCTGCCCTTTTCTCTCCATGGAGTCCCTTCCCTGGGTTCTCAACACTGCTGCACAAGTGCATCTCAGAGCTATGGAGTTTAAACAGTTCTTTATTCAACCTATAACACCTTTAAGGTTGAGTCTAAAGCACCCTGCAACTCGCTGGATCCACAATTGAACTCACAGTGTCCACCCTGTGATCCCTGTAAATCACCCTCTCAGATTTGTCCTCAAAGTAAGGAAATTTCCTATTTCATGATCAGTTCCAGAGGCCCTTCAGACAGAAGAATGAAGCTCGGAGACTCTCAGGAATGTATGTTGCATAAAGGAGTTCACTTCCTTCAGAACATGCTCTTCCCATTTCCAAAATAAAAGTAATCATAGGTTTATCTTCAGTTAATTAATACCTTAAGCTGCTTGTTAAATGCTACCTTACAATTTTGGTTTTCTACAGTCATTCTATTATGTGAGTTCAAGGTGGCCCAGATTAAGAACCTGTAATAAAATAATTAACTGGAGGTATCACATTTGAGACTTGCACCCTAGGGAAGGTTTTACAGCAGCACCAGTTCCAAGTGTCAACCAAGTATCACTCTTGGTATGTTTAGGCAAAGAGCTCCCTCTTGTGTTTAGAAGTCACATAGGCAAAAGTTCTTACATTGGTGTGACTGAATTCATTTCATCATAAATTGTACTATACCAAATCCTATGGATCAAATAAATAATGCAGAATTGGATCCTGAAGAAAGTTACAGTTTCAAAGATGCCATCACATATGGCCTGAAAATTTTACTTTCAAATCCCAATTCAGCTACCCTCGTTTGCAGGTGTCATTACTTGTCCATGGGGATCTATCCTGCAATTACTGCTAATGATGGTTAGCATCTCCATAGGTAGTCATCTTGCATTCTCCCGGCCACCGGTCCACAACAGTGGCCATGTTGACCCTCAGAAGACCAGGTTGGAAGTTGGATCAGAATGTCAGAATATCAGGTGTGTAATGAGTTCAGTCAGGGGGCGGGGGGCACCCTAGTCTCAACTGCTCAAGTCCCTAGGTGAACTCACATGAGGTTGGATTCCAAGGGCATCAGAAGAAAGGTCAGGATGGCAATGAATCCTGTGGACTTTACCCTAGCTGTCCACCACTGGAGGGAAACCAACCAACAGTAAGCCAGAGAACACTTCCAGGCTGCTCCGGGGCCAGCACAATTCTGAGGTCCGTGTCCCTTATAGACACAGACGGGTAGTCGGGGATGTGGGGATGCAGTGGCTCCCAACTGTACATGGCACCTTCCTGGAACAATGGCTTTTGCTTGCATTTTCAGTATTTTAGAAACTCAGCCTAAACTTTTCAAAATGGACTAAACTCTACAAGCTTTTCCTAAACACAGATTTTTAGGCTTTTTACAAATTCTGCTCTACCCATTACATGAACCCTTCTCCAATAACCTAGGGCTGAACTTGGAGAGACCCCACAGGCTCTAGCGTTTCTCTCCAATCTCTGCTATAGTCTTTAAATTGCAAATCAGAGCAAAAGCACAGAGCAAAATGCCCTGGATCTGATCCTGCATTTCTCCCTCTCTTATGCTTTGCTAATTTTGCAATTTAAAATAAGTAACAGCAAAAGGTGACCATAAAATAACTTGCATCTTGAGTCGTTGGGAAGGCAGCCTGCCACTGTATGATTTCCAACATCAAGTCTATCTTGGTGCAGCGACCTAATGCCACCACCTGCTTTACACGTTTCTCCTTCCAGCTCTACTAACCCTGTAGTTAGGGAAATACAGCTGTGGGAGTGAAAACTCAAAATATAACACAGGCTTTGAGGGCCACCTTCCAGGGACATTTTAGGCAAAGTAGAGAATAAGGCTTTACGAGGTAAAACTTCTTTCATTCAATTCTAATCATCCTAATTGCATAAAATGATAATGAAATGATCCCTGTATCTATTGGTACCCATCCCAAGAGCATTAAAGAATAGGGAAGAAATTAAGCCACAAAAGAAAGCATGAATATATATGCATATAATACATACAATAACTATAGTACAGAAGAATTCACACCAAATTGTTGATGGTTGTTAACTTTTTGGAAGGAAGTGCAATTGGTTATTACTGATAATCAAAGTACCAAGAGAGAGGTAGAGGATAAACTTTTCATGTAATATACACCTTCATATTTATGATGCCAGGCAAAGAGTGGTGCTTCTGCATTATTTGCATTCCTCAAATGCAACAGCAGCACATTGAGAAAGAGTCAGCACACAGATTACATCGTGGACATCACAAAACCACCTGAGACTTTTTTCTACTTTTTCCTTAGCCTATTGAGCACCTCCTGACAAACAGGAATTGTTTCCTCCCCTTTGCTGACCCTGGTTGAGTCATATAATTAACCTGGGCTTCTTTGTTCTTGTTTGTAAAATAAGGAGATTTGAGTTAGCTGGTCTCCCAAAAGCCATATAGCACTAACACTGTGATTCTAGCATTGGCTTCCAGAATGCAGAAAGGTTTTAGGAAGTCCTTCCAGGTCCAAGGAGGCCAGGGCACTGGGGCTTGGAGGGTGCTCTTTTCTGAGACATAGTCCAAAATGTAACATCCCACTCTCTTACCTGAAATCTGCTACTTTAACTGAAGTAAAGTAACGATGCAGAGATGGTGAAGTACTATACAAATCTGTGAGCTGAAATAAACAGAAACAAAACCACACACATCAGTAACAGATCATACTGCATAGCACTTGGCAAAGCAAAACTGTTTTTAGGTTTCTAGGGCATCTTTTTACCTTCTCCAGAACATGTCTGTAATAAGAAAGAGCCATGTTTGAGACTAGAACAGCCCCAGACAAAAGGCCCAAGTAAGCAATTGCAAAAATGCAGAAGTTCTATTTTATCCATGAAAAATAAGACATGATGAAAAATGTTGATTTCTATGTTCTACCACTTAGGTTTTACAACTTCACAACCTTTTAGACAAATACGCCTCAACTGACAATAGATGTGGTCTCAACTGACTCATTACAAACTGCAGCCATGCATGCATTCTCTACACCTGATCCGACACCAAGTGTTACATCACAACCTAGCTTAAACATGCTCCATACACTTACATTAGTCTAACATAAAGCCTGTTTTATAATCAAGTGTTATTTATCTCATCAAATGCTATCTTGGCACTGAAAAGTGAAACAGTTGCACCAGTGTGCTTTCATGCCACCACAAAGTTGAAAATTCCCAGTTCAGCCGTTATAAATCAGGGGCTACCGGTATGAAGTTCAGCCCTTCGTTTTAGGAAACAAAACAAAGCTAAAGTTCCTTCTATACCTAGTTGACTTTTCCTCCCTTCCTCTCCTAGTGCTAACCAGCATCCTGAAACTGACTAGCATCTTCTCCTTGCAGTTTTATAAATTACAACTTCCTTATATAATCATAACAATGTATCATTTAATCTGATTTTTACTCAACCAAAAAGCATTCCATTCTAAGACTTGCTTTTTTCTCACATTTCACATTGACCCATACAAATGTGTCAATGAAGGTCATTCAGCCAAACCACTGCACACACCCCATAAATGACTGCATCAGCTCATCCAATTATCTCCACTACACCCTGTGATGAAGGGATTAGTCTCTGAACATCTCTTTGCATCTCTCCTTGTCCACGTAAGTTTCCCTTGGCTGTACACCAAGAACTGGAGCTTCTGGGCCCATGAGCAGGTGTGCCTCCATGTAATTAAATCTTGCATATTACTCTCCATTTTCCTCTCTTCCAAGAAAGAGAAGTGAGAAGAGAAGGGGATAAAGGGGAAAGAAAGGGAGGGAAAGGGTGATAATGAGGAAGGGAATGGAGAAGGAAGGAAATGGAGGGGTAGGAAGAGAAAGGGAGGGAAAGGAATGGGAGGAGAGGGGAGGGAACAGAAGAGCAAAGGGGAGCCAAACAGAACCAGAGTGGATGGATGGGAAGCGATGACTTGTCTACTCTAAGATTCTACTCATGAGTATGAGTAGGATCTATTCCCATGTTAGTCATAGTGTCCATAGTGGGCCCAGAGCCATTACGCACAGGCCTCATCTCCCCTCACCCACTGTCCCCCATACTGTGCTGGGAGGCTTGGTATAGACAGGAGCCCAGTGACGCAGCTGACAGAGGCAGTCCGACACTGTGATTCATTAGACTACAGCTTCCAAAGTGGCATGAGGTCTGGGTAGGTGATCTGGGAGGCCATCAGCAATTGCCAACCAAGCACAGGGCAAGGGGCTCCAGAAAAACAAAGTGCGGTGTTCAAATATTGCAATGTAGTGAAAATACACAATTGTGCTCTCCCAAATTCTCAACACCAAACTTGTAAAATCCCTATAATTTCCTAAGTAATCGGGGTACCAGCTATATCTTTTATTCTAAGATTTGGTCTTTATCTCCAGTTCCAACACAGAGCTGTTCCTAAATCCTTGGAATTTATTAGATTTACTTCCTGGTCACCAGGAAGACAAAGGGATGACACTAAGTTTTGATCCTTCAACACTGCTCCCATCCTCCAAGGAACAGTGAGGGCTGAAGGGTGAGGGACCATGCATCCCACCTCCCTGAGGAAAGCTCCATAAGAATCCCTGGAAGGTTTGGAAACTTTGATGGCTGCCTTAAGTGGTATGGATGCCTTTCCTTTACAGCTGTGCAACACACTGTGCACCTCAAAGACAGAACACACCACCCTGTTCTTTGGTTGTCATTCCTTTAGTTGCTTCTTACACTTGGACTCCGAGTCTACTCAAGGTACCAATTTTTTGAGGCTGGCACTTGGCAGGTTGTTTAGCATATGGCAGACCCTCAATGTACACTACATATGGAATTAAATAGAAGACTAGAATAAATACAAAAACACTTTCCTCCAGGAGGTATACAGCAAGAGGCCAGGGTTTTCCCTCTGATTTTGAACTTCAGAAAATACATAGAGAATATACTGCATCAGAGCAGGTGCTTACATCAATAAGAAAGACACTCAGCGTTACACATTGGAATGTCTGGATTTGATTCCCATCTCTGAATCTTAAGTCCTGCTTCCTGCCAATGAAGACCCAGTGAGGCAGAAGTGATGGTTTTCAGCGATGATATTCCCGCCACCCATATGGGAGAACTGGATTGCATTTGTAGTTCCTGGCTTTGGTCCCAACCATGGCAGACAATCTGGGAAGCAAACCAGTGGATGACAGCATTCTCTTTCTCTCCCCTACCTTCCCTGTTCCTTCCATCTCTCTATCTCTTAAACAAAAAAGCAATGGAAATGCTTTATAACAGTTAAAAAAAAAAAAGAGGTGGGAAGATATAGCATTAATTTCCTCAAAATCCCAGACAAGGAATTCCAGCTGTTTACTATGCCAGCTGTTCCCGCAGCACCCATGTTCTCATTTTAGGAACCCAGTAAATACTGAGTAAGACATAATTACCCTTCTAGTGAGCAGATCAGGCAATTGTTCTTCTGTCATGCACTCCTCTGGAATCTTCAGCATGATGAAGAAAGTTTTGTTTGATGATAGTACAAGATAGTCATTCTCATCTTCATCGATGTATGTTACTAAAGAGGATGGACAAGGTAGAAATAGAAATTAAACAACTGCATAATATTACAAACTTATTATCCCAGTGGCTGCCATAATTAAGTATACTGATGAGTCTTTATCAAGAATAAAGAATGAAGAGAGTAGGCAAGGACAAGTAGAAATGATTTCTCCACTCAGTAGAGCTGAATAAGACATAGATGCTTGCCTCCACCATGATAACAGTTTTGTTTGTTTTATGTCAAAAGAGCCTCAGCATGCAGCAAATTCAGCCTGGGGCGGGGGAGTTGAAGAGAACCCTTTGTAAGAAGTGAACCTGCAAACCTGCAGTTCAGTTCTGTACACAGGTGTTCAAGCAGGGACTAGCGAACAGTAGAGAGATCACATTGGTAATGGAGGATTGGCTTTGGGAGCGAGGGACTCCATGGGAATACCTCCCAGTTGTGTGTGCATATAGACTGCAGTGCGTGAGGAACCAACAACACTGACCACAAGCGAGTGGAGAACACGTGAGCGTGTGAGTCCACGTCTTGAAGTCTCTCCAGGAAAACGGGATAGGTGGGCAGACCCAGCTGGCACAGGGTCACATTGCACAGAGGCAGAAGGTGGACACACTTTGCTTGTGGCAAGGAAACCAAACTGCACTCAGGGCTCGAGGCTGTGCAGGAATGACATTCCTGGACAATGAGCTCTGTGACATTGCTCCGTTCTAATGACTGCTCACTAATTGGTTTTTAAGCAGTTAGAGCCAAGGGAAAACCACTCAGAAACAAGTGCCAGGAGCCACAGACCAGCACTGATTGCCAATTATGTTCCCCTGGCACCCAAGTTGGCACGCAGAGGACCACCTCTCTGACCCTGAGAAAGGAGTGGGTGGGAAGAACCAGATGCCCTATTGCTGTAGGCTTTTTTCTCAAACCCCACGCTTCAAACAACATCATCAACTTCTCTGGATTTTGAGAAGGCTATGGTAGAATAAACTCAACATTTACAAATAAAAGGGAGGTAGAAAGAAGAGCATGCTACTGATTCCTTGGGGAAATCTGGCAATGTGAGGCTGTAGAGTCAAGGTAATCTGGCAGCCTGGGATTTCTGCGCAAGCCTGGCTCCTGGCTAGAAGTCTGGGAATCTGGATTTGGGGGAAGGGTTCCCATCATGCCCTGACAAATGACTCACTATGCCCCAACTGTTTGTGAAAACAATGTGGTTGCCTATGTGACTAACCCCCAGTCAAAACCCTGGGCACTGAAATCTACAGTATGCTTACTAAGTAAACATTTCCCATGCGTTGTCACAACCTGTGGAGGAAGCAATTAAGAAAATCCTGTTCAACTCCCCTGGGAGAGGACTCTCTGAAGCTTGTTCCCTCTGGAATTCATTGTCATCAATATTTTTACTTAATACATCCATTTGTTGTAACAAATTATAATTGTCAGTCTGTAGTTTTGTACATAAGTGCTCTTAGCAAATCATTGACTCTAAGAGTGACCATGGAGAATCCAAACTCAGGAAATGATCCCTGAATCATAACTGGTTATGAATCATTACTTTGTTCTTTCTGATAATAAAAGTGATACCCTCATAGCAGAAAATTTGCAAAGTACTGGAAAGTATAACAAGGCAAATACCCATATAATTACTAATAATCCTTTAAGTGGTTTCCCCAATATTTTTATTCTATGCCCCACATATTTTATATTATAAATTTGAGATATTCTTTAATTTATATCTTGCTTTTTTCATTGTTGCTTACTGGTGTTGATTCTTTTTTGTTGCTAACATATCAAAAGTTTATGTGTTTGCTATTCCTTATAAAGCTTATTTTGGTGGTTTCATTCCATTCATTTAGTTTTATTTCTTTAAGTCTGGTATTATTGCTTTCAGCTTTCCACTCTTTTTTTTTTTAAGATTTATTATCATTTTTTTTTTATTGGAAAGTCAGATATACAGAGAGGAGAGACAGAGAGGAAGATCTTCCGTCCAATGATTCACTCCCCAAGCGACCGCAACGGCTGGAGCTGAGCCAATCCAAAGCCAGGAGCCTCTTCCGGGCCTCCCACGCAGGTGCAGGGTCCCAAAGCTTTGGGCCATCCTCGACTGCTTTTCCCAGGCCACAGGCAGGGAGCTGGATGGGAAGCGGGGCTGCTGGGATAGAACCGGCGCCCATATGGGATCCCGGGCATGCAAGGCGAGGACCTTAACCACTTGTGCCATAGCGCTGGGCCCCAGCTTTCCACTCTTACAAATAATGCTGCAATGGGTGCATATGAGCTCTATACATACCACACAAATTTTCACAGTACACAAAGTTCAAAGAGTTTCCAATAATATTTTAACTTGCACCACTCAAATAATGAATCTGTGCTGGCTGAACAGTTGTTTGTAAAATAATAACAGTTTTTACAGGTGTACCCACTCAGGAAAGTTTTAATGAGCATTAGGGGTAGACACTGGCCACAGCGGTTAAGCTGCCACCTGCATTAGCCACATCTCATATCAAGAGTGCCTGAATTCAGGCTTGCCTCTGCTCTTCCCAACTCCTGCTAATAAGCACTCCAGGGTCGGGGTCAGGGGACATCAGGTGACAACTCAAGTACTGACACTTTTTGGGAAGTTTGGATTAGACTTGCAGCCCTGGGTTCACATTTCAAGCCATTTAAAGAATGAACCAGCAGATAGGGATTCTCTCTGTCGTCTCCCTCTGTGTCACTCTGCCTTTAAAATGATATATAAAACAAGTAATTTTGAAAAATTAAACTAGAGATTTGACCTGAGTAATACTGTTCATATAGAGAAAATAGGTTAAAGAAATCACAGAAACTGGAACAGAGTATATTGGAGGATCATGAGTAAAGATCTTCACCTGTAATATACAAAATGAAGCTGGAGAGGAAAACTTGCAATGCCAAGTATCTTGGCAGCTGTTGTCAGAGTGCATGGCTCGAGTGTAAGCAACTCAGAACCTGATCCAGCTCCCTGCTAACACCTGGATTCCCTCCACAAGATGGGAGACCCACATGGAACTCCTGTGCAGTGGCTTCAGTCTGGCCCAGCCCTGGATATTGAACATATGTGGGCTGGGAATCAGCAGACGAAAAATTCCCTTCTCTGTGTCACTCTAAAAATAAACATAGTCAAACATAGTTCGAACCGCAGCCCAGCAATCACTATTAGCCTTATGACTTTGGGCAAGTCACATAAATCCCTGGAGCTTTTTCCTCAACTGCTCCATGTCAGATGACTCAATATGAGGGCTTGGTGTGATGACTCAATGGTCCAATCCCCCGCCACAAACATCAGCATCCCATAATGATGCCAGTTCATGTTTCAGCTGCTCCACTTCTTATAAAACTCCCTGCCTGGAAGCAGTGGAGGATGGCACAAAGCCTTGGGATCCTGCACCCACATAGGAGATCCAGGAGAAGCTCCTAGCTCCTGGTTTTGGATTAGCTCAGCTACAGCTGTTGTGGCATTTCAGGGGGTAAGCCCTGATGGAAAATCTTTCTTTCCTCTCTGCAAATCTGCCATTGCAATAAAACAAAAAGAAATCATAAGAAGGAAGGGAGGAAGAAAAAGAGGGAGAGAAGGAAGGAAGGAAGGAAGGAAGGAAGGAAGGAAGGAAGGAAGGAAGGAAGGAAGGAAGGAAGGAAAACTCAATACGAATAAAGCAACCAGCATGGTATCTCTCCATGTGGTTCTCATTGTTTTTTATAACACTTAGAATCTTGTCAAACCAAAAGAGTTTCATTAACAAAAAGTTATACAGGGTCTCTCCCCTCCAAAGCTTAGAAGATTTTATGAAGAAAGGAGAACATTTAAGGATGTTTAGTTGTGTCTACAAATTATTCAAAAGGAAAATAATTTTGAAACATACAGAAATCTGTTTTCTACTCTTCATGCCAGTAGGTTTCTAATTCTTTGAAGGAGAAACTACATCATTATCTATTTCCTAGGTTTCTGGGACAAAAGTAATCTTTCACATCCAACAGGATTCCCTGGTTTCTGCCCATAAAACTGATCATTTAAAAATGTCAGAAACACAGGCTCAGCATAATAGCATAGCAGTTGAAGTAAACCTCCCCTTGAATGTGCCAGGATCCCATATGGGTGCCAGTTCTACTCCCAGTGGCCCGGCTTCCCATCTAGCTCCCTGCTTGTGGTCTGGAAAAGCAGTCAAGGACGGCCCAAAGCTTTGGGACCCTGCACTCACATGGGAGACCTGGAAGAAGCTCCTGGCTCCTGGCTTCGGACTGACTCAGCTCCAGCTGTTGCAGCCACTTGAGTAGTAAATCATAGGACAGAAGATCTTCCTCTCTGTCTGCCTTCCTTTCTCTGTATATCTGCATTTCCAATAAAAATAAATAAATAATGTCAGAAATAACTGTGGAGTTCTGGCCCCTTCTCCATACTGCAAATGCAGGTCCCATTCAATGCCTGATCCTGAGTCATAACCCTGAACTTGCCATCACTTCAAAAGCATGACAAAGAAAGAATTGAAGATCTCATCTCAGATACAAGCAATAAAGCATGCAACCCAATAATAAAACTAGTGTCAAATTGGTCTGCTTTAATCATCTCCCCAGGCTCTCAAATTCCATGTCAGTCACCAGAGCTCCCTACAGGACATTCTGCACTACCCACAGTTCCCAGCCCATCTAGTTGTCCTATTCGTTCTGGGACGCAATCATAGCACCAGGCTGTGTCCATAACAGCTGCACAGTTACCGCCACATCTGCATCAAGGCCTCTGGCTGAGGAACACCGAGCCCTGCTCCAGGAGATGAAGAGGTGTGCAGCAGGAAAAGCAGGTGCAAAAGCAAATATAGTCCTGAAGGAACCTTGGCCTCTCAAGGAACCCAGATGGCTTATAGGCCCAGCCCTTGAGTCCGGACATGTTTCTTCTCTTTGATAGCAGCATTTCCTACCCAATACCTTAAAGTTTTTACAAACATCTGATTTATATCAGCAGGTTTGGCAATTCGGCTGGAGCCACTGCTGAACATCGGAGATGCTCAGAGCTCCCCTTGGTGAAGCTGGGACTATCAGACAGCAGTCCCTGTTCCACCTCCTTGTATACTAAAGGCACTGCCCTAATGATTCAGCAAAATTATCCGAACGTAATATTAAAATCCAAAAGACTATTAAACATATGTTAAAATATTTTAAAGTGTAAGAAAAAAATTAGAAGAAAGTATAACAAAATAGTAACAACTTACAATGCTCTCATGAGCATCTGAACATGTATAATTTTTGAATTTAAAGTCTTTTAAGTAATTACTAACTTTTCAGATTACCCTGTAGGTCTAACCCAGTAAATGCCAAGTAAAATAAATGTATTCTCTTGGGCCAGCATTGTGATACTCCAGATTAAGCCACTGCCTACAAATGCCAGCATCCCACATATGTGAGTGCCAGTTTCAGTCCTAGCTGCTCCATTTTCAATCAGCTCCCTGATAATGTACCTGAGACAGCTGCATAAGCTGGGACCTTGCCGCCTGCTTTGGAAACCTGGATGGAGTTCCAGCCTCCTGGCTTTGGCCTGGCCAACCCCTCTGCCTTTGTGGCTGTGGCCATTTGAAGAATGAAGCCAACCCATGGAAGATCTATGTGTGACAGTATGTGTATATATGTCCCCTTTCTCTCAAATCTTTTAAAATAGATAAATAGACTACCAGGATTTTAAAAGAAAGCATGAAAAACCTCTCTCTGAAGTATATTAACACATGTTAAAGCACAAATTTATAATCCAACTCAAAGCGAAGAAGTTGGTACAGTGGCATAGAGGGTTATCCATACAGAGGAGTAAGGAATGCACTTGTTTTAGTCTCAACTGCTCCAATTCTACATTCTGCTAACAGGTCTAGAAAAAGCAGCCAAAAAGGACCACGTACTTTGGCCCTGGAATCAATATGGGAGTTATGGGTTCCAACTGGCCTAGCCCTAGACACTGTGGTCATGGGGGAAGTGGACTAGTGAATGGAAGATGTCTCTTTTTCTCTATCTCTGCTTTTCAAACAAATAAATAAATCTTAAAAAAAATTCAAGGGACCAGTACAGTGGAGGACCAGTACGCTAATCCCCCATCTGTGATTCCGGCATCCCATATGGCTGCTAGTTTGAGTCCCAGCTGCTTCACTTTTAATCCAGTTCCCTGCTAATGGTCTGGGAAAACAGTGGAAGACAGCACCAGTCCTAGGTTTCCTGCACCCTCATGGGAGACCCAAAAGAAGCTCCTGAATCACAGTTTTGTTGCCAAGAATTCAATACAAAAGACATGGCAACTTCAAGTCTTGTCTCTCATGAAAGAAAAATTTTTGTTGAACAATTTAAGCATGCAAACCAAGATTTATTAAAGATATTAAAGAGGAAATCTCCTGTGTGGCATCAGGAAGGGAGCTCCAAAAAAGGAAAGACTCAGGAAAACAGTAAAAGTGATGCCTTTTAAATTTAAGTGAGCAGAACAATGGGTAACAATGAACAAGAGAACAAGAACAAAGCCATTTGGAAGGCCACAATTGTAATCCTGCCTAGCTCACTCTTGATAAAACAAAAAGCCTTTGAAACTGGTAACTTCTTTCCATTCTCATGATAAACTAAAAATTCAGAAAGGTGGGAAGGCACTTTTACCTAGCTAAAGGTATCTTCTGGTAATAAACAAGCCTTTTGTGCACTTCTAAAGAGATGCCCCTTTTTCTCATTCCAACAGAGAAGTGACCCTGACTACCTTTGTGACCCTGTCACAACTTCAGATTGGCTCAACTTCTCCACTGTAGCCATCTGGGGACCAGCCAATGGAATACTTCTCTCTGTCTCACCTCTTCTCCACAAATCTGCCTTCCAAATAAAAATAAATAAAACTTCAAAAATAGTCAAAGTGAAGTTTGTGCAAGTTCTAAAAACGTGTGCCCTGCTTGTTATCCTTTAATCTTTCAGGTCCCTGACTGCTGCAGGGAAATGGAATTTCTTCTTTGTGAATTGAAGGGATTGGATGACGCAGAATGGAAAATAGATCTCTGGTCTTTGTGTCTCGGAATCCTGAATACTAAACCACCTGTTGCATCATCCTTTGTGGGAATTCCAGATCCCAACAAGCAAGTCAGTTGCGATTTTGTGATAGAACCAGCTGGTTGCAAATCACAGCTTCAGTTTCAACATCCACTGTGTGGGAGTCGTTGTGAAGAGGAAATATAAGGGCTGATACCAAAACTCTTGTCATCAATATTATGGAAAATATATGATAGCTTTCAGTTTCCTCTTTACCTGTAAAACCAAAGTGTAGCCTTCACGAATCACCCATCCAACCTAAGCGGTGCCCTTGATAACTAATGAGACAGGGTGTCTGCCCAAGAATGTTCCAGACTTGAGGTTAGCAATATCCTCCCAGTTCCCCTGTTCTTCTAGAGACTATGAAAAATTGAGATTGGGGCAGGGGTGTGGTGTGGGTAAGGACCAAGGGAAAGGGGAACCAGAAGCAAATAGTAAATGTAGTTTTTAAGAAGAATTCCTAAGAAATACTCAAGTGCTCCCAACTCAACCCACATCCTCCTGGAGGCCCATCACCTTCAGGACACAATCTCAGCTCAGTGCCTCCTGTCATTAACCCACATGCAAATAAAAGCAATTCTCTTCTTTCCTATTTTGAAAGTGAAATCATTACCCACTGGAGGAAGCTCTATCTCAATGAGTACACCATTAAAAAGTCAGTAATCGCAGTAAGCATAATAAAAATGGAAACTATCCAAAAGGATTTAAAATGACACGGAATATTATAAAATGCCTTCATAAAAACATGACACAAAGAATTTCTAACCACCAAACAAAAAGATCTCAGTATAACACTAAAATCTTGAAGACAGGCTACATGACCACAGAAAAATCTGACATTCTGATCTCAAGTTATTTTTAAAATGTGAGAAAAGGACTAAATAAAATGCAATTAAATATCAGTTAATTAATTGTAGGTAACTAAACATATATTGCCTTTAAACACAAAGCAAATGATAAAATTATATAAATATTCAAAGTACATAGTGAGTACCATGTAAACTTGGTTATATACAAATATTTAAGCTACTTTTAACTGAAGTTAGAATGACAGCCTAAAAGTACATGGTTTTATAAAGGTTTTTCTGAAACTCATTGTTTTATTATTATAATAATGTATTAGATGAAGTACAAAAATTATTTTTTTTGCCAAGTTATAAGGAAAAAACCTTCAAACAAGCAGATATCCAAGATGTAATAAAGTACAGTGATTACATTAAAATTTAAGACACATCTTCAAGATCAAAAGAACAGAGTTTGAGGTAAAACACTGATCTCCATACTTCTGGGGCTTATAAAATCAACAAACAACAAACAAAATGCCATAAATAAAACAAGAATCACGTGTCTCTCCTACTCATAGAACATATTCCAAGCCACTTTTAAATCTGTGTTGTAGTTAGTGAAACAACCATGAGTATATCTTCCATTTCAGTGTAAGTCAGAAGCTTTAAACAAGTTCTTAAAATGGACCACCTCGGTCACATTGCCATCATCTTACCTCCAACAAGACATAAGCTGAGGATGATCACTACAGCGAGCCCCAGGAAAACGGAGGTGATGACCATCCACAGTTTACACTTTCCCACCACAGTCCTGTTGCAGGAGCTCCAGGGGTTTTCCTTCTTAGCCTGAAGAGCAAAGGAAGAAAGTGAGGCACTCCTTGGGTTACAACAATCCCCCTAGGGGCCAATCAATGCTACAAGAATGACAACAGCAGGAACCAGACCTCAAGGGCTAAACCCTGCCGGATGGACGTTACACAAAGCTACACCAGGGGCAAGGTGGAGAGCCTCACTAGCTTAGCAAGAAAATGTTTTGGGGCCTGGGAAGGTTAGATGGGAATTTACAGACTGGATTTTGGAAGGCATTGAAAGCCCATGAAATAGCATCCACGGTGTCTTAGCCATAACAGAACTGGCCAGCACAGGAGTCTGATGGGGGTGTCACAATCAAGTAGTGAAAGGTTGGGACATGTTGGAGAGAGGTTTAATATCTACCAGAGCATGTATTTATATTTATAAAAATAAATAAAAACTCTTAAAAAAAAACTTATTCTGGGGTGCACCACTATCCCTTGGAATGTTTGGGGGACACAAGAGCTAAATTAAAACTTAAGAAGAAAAGGAAGTGTAGTTTGGAATGGACAAACAGAGAAATCAGCCATGAGGCCAGTGCTGTGGCCCCACATTCCATGTTTTAAAAAGCAGGGCCGGGGTTTAGGAAAGAAATGCAGGGACAGGCAAAAGGGAGTAGAAAAGAAGTTGCAATTAGTGTTGTGATGCACTCTGGGATCAGAGTAAGCAATCGCAACCACAATGGTTTGTGGAGCACTTCATACACGTCAGGACTAATTCTGCTTCCCACTCTTAAAGCCCATTGGCCTCACTGCAAGAAACGTCCGAGCCTGTCAGGTTGCCTTGGGAGAACCCCTCTCTCAGAGCCACACCTGCTGTACCACTAGGTCATTTTTGTGCAGAGACGATGGACTGTGACAGAAAATGATGAGACACAACAGGTGGAATTCTAATCCAAACTAAAACACTTAAAGGCAGGTATCATTAAGTAAGCTAGTAAAATTTGCTGGTCCCCATGTCCTGAACTTTGAAAACAAAGATGCCCCTCTAATTGTGGTGAAACCCATCATAAACTGAAAACGTCATAAGTCCACAATTCATTTATTCTACCAAACTTACTGAACATTCCATGTGAGCTACACAGCACGCTATAGACTACTGGGTCTTTCCTCAGTGACAGTCGGTGGTTGAGCAGGAGCTGAAGCTTGGTGCTGCTTCTGCTGCTGCCCCGCATTACAAGGGGTTATCAGGAAAAGGTCAGCATTCAAGTGACAGGAGAAAGAACTGTTAGAGTTTTATCACACAGTAGGGAGACTATGGATAATCATAACATGCACACATACATACATTTTAAAGTTATACAGATTCCAAACAATCATAAAGGATAAATAATTAAGTATATCTTTGCCCTAGTGTCAGCCTTATACAATTTTTATTCCTGTAGTAAAACATAATATGCAGCCATATAAATATGTGCACAATCATGTATACATTAAAAATCTGAAATAAACAAAAACTCAAAGTACACATTTTGAACCTTTGTAACTTTCATACTATCATCATAAAGTCAAAGAGGTGTATCTGAAACTATCACGTTGGAAACCACCATGTTTAGTTTATCAACACTAAGTCTGACTTACGGAGCTGCTATAAAAACTACAGATAACATCCATGAAGCATCTGCTCAATCCAGGAAACGAATTTCACTTCCCACGTGACACACAGCTGTACACCTGTCCAGAAAGCACTTGAGGAGGTTGGTTTCTGATTCCAATCATTGTTTACTTTCTATCTCATTCTTAGTTTGGTGGTGGCCAGCAGGAAAGAAAACCATGTGTGTACATTAAGAATATATTTCAAGGCCCGGTGCAGTAGCCTAGTGGCTAAAGTCCTCGCCTTTAATGTGCTGGGATCCCATACAGGTACCGGTTCATAGCCCTGGTGCTCCACTTGCCTTCCAGTTCCCTGCTTGTGGACTGGGAAAGCAGTAGAGGATGGTCTAAAGCCTTTGAACCCTACATCCACATGGGAGACCCAGAAGAAACTCCTGGCTTTGGATCAGCCCATCTCCAGCCATTATGGCCACTTTGGGAACCAACAGACAGAAGATATTTTTCTCTCTATCTCTTTCTCTCTGTATATCTACTTTTCCAATAAAAATAAACAATAACTCTTAAAAAAAACTGGCTCTGGTTATTGCAGCCATCTGGGAGTAAACCAGTAGATGGAAAACCTCTCTCTGTGTTTTTCCTTTCTCTCTGTAAAATCTGCCACTCAAATAAAAATAAATGAATCTTTAAAAACAGACACAAAGTAATACATTTCATACTTTCCCAGCGGTCTCAAGCCTGGCTGCACAACAGTATCACCTGCAATAGATTTTGACAGTAGGCCCACCTGCACCTTAAGGAGTCAAGTTTTCAGGGAGATGGCCACAGGCCCTGGCAGGTCATTTTAAACCTCCCAAAGTGAGTCAACTGCTTTACCAGATTGAGACATCTGGTGCAAACTCTCCCACCCTCCAAGAGCCTGATCCAATGTCCCAGTTCTCTCCTTCCCCACCCAGTGCAGGAGCTGTCCTCACAGCTGCGGCCACTGACTGCCCTGTCTGGTTTCTTGTTCAAATGCAAACAAAGAATGGCTTTATCTTCCTGGGTAAGTTGAAACCACACAGAGAAAAGGTTCCTAAACTTCCCCATTCTTATATTCCACACTTGTTCCTCCTAACTTACAGGCCCTGAGTGCATGGACTCTTGGACCCAGCCCATTGGATGGGAGCAGTGAAGGCCCAGAGATACCTAGAAAGAGAATCATCTAGAGTGTTTCTGGGTCCAGAGGTAAGACCACCTCTCACCCCCAGGCAAGGCTGCAGAGCTGCTCCTAAGCCACGAGAGTCAGGGGCTCCATTAAGCACATGGGAAACTACAGGCTGGCACAAGGGATCTTGGGCTTCTGGGGATAGAAACGACTGTCCCCTCTTCAAGAGCTTCTGCTATTAAAATTAGCCTGTGCTGATTTCAGTTCAAATATAAGGGATAGTCAGGTCCACAAAACACTAAAGAGAATTATCTGGAGTCTCTAATCAGCCACTGGATGAACTTCTTCAGCCACTTGCATCTTCTGCTGTCCCTCGGGGATCATAAATTAGGACTCTCATGTTTGAAAGATTACTAGTTAGTCTTAGGAATTCCTAGGAGAATTGCAGCTCACACTGACACAGTCTTTATGTATAGAAAATGCCTCTTCTTGGTCCAGCCCAAAACGGCCCAGCATGTGCAGCCCAGCATGTGTCTCTGAGCTGTCCATAGGCCTAAGAAGACCACTGAGTACTATCCCTTACAGATTCATCTTTCTAACCTTTAAGTCAGTATAACGTAGGCTACCCCACTCTCAGCTGAACAGCAGCTTACAATGCTAATCAGCTGCCTGCATGCTAGAAGCAAATGAGGAGTGAGTGTTCGTTTAGATGTGTCACAAGAAGAGTCCCAGGTCAAAGAAGCTCTGATACTGGGTGCATGCTGAGTCTCCCCTCAAAACTGGGTCACAAAGTCTCACTGCCTCCTTCACCAGTTTCCTAAGCAGTACCATTGGCAGTTCTCCCAGAGTGCCTGCTCAGGGTGTCTGCAAGCTGCCCTTCCATTCCAGGTTTGCATGACATAACTCAAGGCATCTCCTGGCTTTCAGCCAAACACTACCCTGGACCCTCTGTCTCTTCAGGGACAGGTCTAAACACAGGATACAGGTCCATCCTGTGACCATTGCAGACTATCCATGTCTCAGATCCAAGAAGCTTGGATCATTTAGAAGCAGATGTGATGTAAGTCAGGGGAATTTTTCTCAGCAAACAGGAAAATTTAGACGTTATATTCTTTTGTGCAGTATTTAATCACTTGTTGTTTGATCCAAACAAAAGAGCCAGTTTATTTATGTACTGAACAAATAATATGTAGCAGTGGAGCTAACTCTTTAGGTAGTTCATTCCCACAAGCTTTGCATGTCTCAAAATTATCAAGTTAGTGGTTTATTATTATTCTAATGATGCTGCCTTCACTTTAAATGTCTCTGAGATTTCTATTTGAAACCTGAGTCAAAGCCAAAAAAGAAAACAATCTCACCTGATTAATATAACTTCTTTTCCACTTCTGACCCTATGTTTAGCATGATGGCAAGCAGAGTAGGGCTCAATGGTTTGTATCTCTTTCCCTCACACCTGAAACCTAGATCAGCAATGGAAAAAGCTTCTTTCCACTGCCTTCTTATACCCTCACAGCCCAGCTCTGCCAAGTCAGGGGACACCCACAGTATCAGATGTCTTATAGTAACAGTATGGGATGTCTTCTTATAGTAACCCCTCAACATCCACCCACCCCCATTCAGATCCAATCTCTTCAATGCTATTCTTCCTCAACTGCTGCTTCACCTAAATTATAAGTTCCATAACTCATAAAAATTAGCAATATCTAATCTAAGCAACTATGCTAAATGAAGATAAATCATAAATCACTATATTTCAATGATAGATTAAATCAACACAAACATCATAGAGGTGGGAAATCTAAAAAACATGATTTTTTGAGTTCAAATTTCAGCAGCACCATTGAGGGTACTGAACAGAGTCTCATGTTTTTACTCAGTTGCATCCGGGAGATCACAATACTAACATGAAATGTCTATATAACATGTAGTGAATGAAAAAAAAAAATGGAACTAAGCAATTTTTAAAAACAGTGCATAGGTTAAGAAACCCTAAAATACAGAACAAAGCACAGACACTGGACTTCCTGAGTCTAAATGCACTTTAACTTGGTCTTCAAAATTAAAAATAATGACCACCTGCTGGAGTGATAGGTCGTCTCCTTTTAAAAGATATCCTGTTCAGGTATTTCTAGAATGCCTGCCTATGCTTCCGTACCCCTCTATGTTTACTCTATCCTGTTGTTCACCTGCGTTTTCCAACTTAGTGACCTACAAAGCTACCTCAACAAGGAAATCCGGGCTGTCTGTGCATACTGAGTCACATGGAAGTCATCAGAACGTGAAGTAGCAATTTCTACAGGGCAGGTGCTAATCAACTGGAAAATACTGACACCTTGCATGGCTCTCCTGCTTACCCTTCAACCGTTTTACACAAGCACCCCTAGTCGTCACAGACTCCCAGTTTGGGCACATTACGTTCCCACCGTTTGACCCTGGTACACATCCTGTAATGGCAATGCTGCCTGAAGAACTGCGCTAGACTCGGTCACAAAATGTGGAAACTTGGAGTGTCCAGGGTTTGTCTAATGCGGGACAAGACTTTCCAATTCTCGAATCTTAAACCTCCATAAGGGTGCACGCAGCGAGGCTACGGTTATAGACACCACCCGGCCATCAGACCTTCTGCAAGCAGGTGTCACGCCTCTGGGAAGTTTATATCCCATTCAAAGACAAGGCCCCAAAGTGCTCTCCAGGGTACCAATAAAAGCAGGCTACCCAGCCATTCACACACAGCCCTACTTGGAACTTGTAAATTTCCTGTTCCTTCACTGGCCGAATGGGGGGAGGGGGAGGAGTGGGGCCTAGAACTATCAGGTTCTATATATAGATGCGAGGATATGTGTATCCAGTCAACCTCAAGCCATTCGTAGGGGTTAATCACAGCAGGAACGGCCTGGAATTCAGTCTCTGATGTTTTACAAGCATTGGACTGAGTGAATACTGCTCCCACCACTGCTAGAGTTGAATCAGAAAACAGCTCAGTCGAAACAGGAGTGACTTCCTGAGGAATTCGGGGGGGAAGTAGAAAAAGAACTGAGCTAGGGTAGAGTACTGTGGGGGAAGAATTCTAAAAATATTTGCCCACAGCCCTAGGCTGTGGCCTCCGACTCTTGCTACTTTTATCGCCTGTCTTCCTAAATAATCCAAAGGCCTGCCTGGGAGAAGACAGAAAATGTGGGGGGGGGAGGACAGGAGGAGGGTGGAGACAGAGGCTGCGGACGGTGGTGAGGGCTGGAGGAAGGGGAAGGGAGGAGTGATGTGCGAGGGAGGAGGGTTGCGAAGAGGCAGATTCCTAAAGAAAGAAGAGGTCTCATTCTATCACCTTCGTTTTCCCTGTCTGAAAAGCTACAGGAAACCCGACGCAGCCACACCTCCCGTTGGGCAGCCGAAGCGCGCCCGGGCCGAGGCAGGCGAGCCCTGGGTCCGGCGCTGCCCTGAGATCGCCCGGGGAGAACCCCAGCTTCCCGGCCGCGGACACCTCACCTGCGCAGGGCGAGCCTGCTCCCCCGAAGCGGGGACGACCCTGACCGCTCCATTGAGAGGCGTCTGCTCGTCTGGCTGCGCCTCGAGCGCTGAGAGCTCCAGCTCATCCGCGGGCGATGGAGACGCGGCCGCTTCCATGGACCGGCAGAAGAGGGCTGAGCGGCTCTGCCGCAGGCAGCGCCCACACACCTAAGGGTGCAAAGTCCAAGGTTGCCTCCCCGGATCGCACTCCACCCATTGGGCGAGGCGCGTTGTAGACTTGGGGCTGTGGGAGGGGAGGGGCGGAGTGGGGGAAGGCAGGGGAGCGGAGAGCGCTGGCCCCGACAGGCACCCCTCGCCCCTGCAGGCTCCAGCGGCTGCGACCGTACCTGGCCGTGGGCCTCCGAGCCAAAGAGGGCAGTTTTTCTGGTTTGTTCAGGGCGCTCCCTGGTATGCCCTTCCCAGCTCTGCGAAGGCAACCCAGCTCATCTTGGGGCCTGTGGTGAAGACGTTCCAGCGGAAAGGCGGCCTGATACCCCCTAGAGCTGTCAGTTGCCGTGACTTGCCCCAGTCCTTGTTGCGTAGCGAAATGCCTTCACTGAGTCAACAAGTAACTAAAGCTTCCACTGCCTGCCAGGCATGGCACCCGGTTCTGAGCGTGTGCAAGTGTGCAAATTAATTCTCTCTCTCTCTCTCTCTCTCTCTCTCTCTCTTTCAAACACACACACGTCCAGAGTCAGACAGAGGGACAGTACTGAGTGGTGATGGGGGGAGGGGGACATGCAGAAACAGACCCTAGAACGAGACTATTGACCATTCAGAGGGCACCTAACCAAAAGACTTCAGGCACCATCCTTGCTGTGCCAAAGTGCCCTGATCCGGAAATTTGGCATAGTTTAAGATTAGCTTAATGTGTTGCCAGGATTGAAAGCTGGGGCAAGTAAAACACTCAGAAATACACTAACACACAGCCAGCATGGATAAGACTTGGCTGTTATTGTTTGCCTTTGAGGGGATGGATCAGAAACACCTCCTCACCTAAGCAAAAAATGCGCTTCGCGAGCACACATTGCATGTCTGGTGTAGTGAGCCTGAAATTGTGTTGGTCCAGTCTCAGCTCTCGAGCGTTTGTCCGGAACAGTCTTGATCTCTCTTTCTCTCGCTCTCTGTCTCTCTCACACACACACACAGACACACACACACACGTTTGAGAAGGCAGGAAGTGTACAAATAAGTTCCATTCCAAAGACTTGTGTTGACAAGCAGGGACCTTTCAGCCGGCTGCTCAGACGCTGACTTCTGCTCTTTTACAGGCAGAACTCGCAGTAACCAGCCGTCGTTTGCAGCTGGGGTTTCGAAGAGGCTTTTAAATAAAGACTCACCCATTAATTAATCATCCATAAGAAACTGATTCTTGTAATCAGCTGAGATTGGCAATGTCTCTTTTATCACTGTTACTGCTACTGCTCATAAGTAATGAGAAATCCAGTCCTCACTGTACCTTTATTAGGGCCTAGGGACACATGCTGACATTTATTCCTATGTGAAGATGTTGGACACTCTTTTCATCACCCAAGCATCATAGTGATACCTTTGTTACATGTTCGTTAGCTTCATGTGGATGAAGGCTCATTACCTTTTTAAATTTTCTTCCCATGGTGGACTGTACTCAAGGGAATACATTATAGAAATGTAGCAGAATACTATGTTCATAGTTGGAAATGGAGAGAAGTTCTCATGCATGCAGTACAAGCATGGACTCACAACGAAATGACTGAGAATCTCCCACATTGTTGGGAGACACCTCAGTGGCAGCATGATGGATTTGTGAAATTTCTTGAAAGACACCCATTGTAAGACTGGAGGGGAGGGCAGGGGGGAGAGGAAGGCACTTGGGAAGGTGGCGAGGAGACCCCAGTGCCTATTAAACTGTATCATAAAACAATAAAACAAACAAACAAAAAACCTAGGTACTTCATTGCAGAAGGTTGGAATTCTAATCAGAGATCAAATGTACCAAACCAGGAAACTTTTGGTAGCAAAGGAGAGCAACATGAATGATCTTACTGGCATAACACGTGTAAATAAGACTATTCCAGGCAAGCCAGAAGATAAGATCAATCAGGCCATTATTGTTGTGTCTCTCAGAGTATTATTTGCTGTTTCAATCCAATGAAAATTTATTATGTTCGGAATACCAAATAAAAATATTACTATTGTCGCTCAAAAATAAAGACACATGAGTTTAGGGAGTCAGAGAGGAATGATGAGACCCCAGGCCTGGTGGCCCCTGGCCTTTTTTAGACTCCTAAAAGAATCTGTAGTCACAGGAGTTGGCAAACTGGCAGAAAATCAGCATGGTCTGTGGAACCCAGCAACTCACTTTACCCAATGCCCAGACAACTTTTCTCATAGTTCTGTCATGTGGCCATAGGAGCTCAATGGGAGATTCCCTTTCGCATCAGATGTGGCTCTCTTCCAAGTTTCTCCAGCAGAAGAAGCTAAGGCTTGCTTCATTTTTGCAGAGAATCAAAAAAGCAACTGCTCTGTCACAAACACACTCTAAACAACATCTAGTAAGTTTTGAGTATAATATAGCCAGATTTGTGTAATCTCTTATCAATACTTGGATGTACTTCCAGAATTCCATTTGCCTAATCTTTGTCCCTATGGTACAGTGGAAGGAGTTTGATTTTTGATTGCCAGAGAAGTTAGACTCTTTCTGTATGTTCTTGGGCAAGTTGTTTGACATTTATTTGCTGCTTTTTTCACTGTGAAATGATTCCTACCCAGTAGGATGATTAAATGAAGTAATTAAAGCATTTCACCTTGTGCATGAACAAGAGCAGAATTTTAGCAATGTTACTTTACCTTCCACAAATCTAAGTAACTGAGTAACTACCACCCCCTTCACACAACTCTTAGCATCCAGTACCAGCACTTGGCTACCATGTGCTTGAGTCTGTGCTTTCTTTCAATATTCATGTTTCTTCCTGACCTCTCATATCTTTTCATCACAGACACCTCCCAATGGTGCCTGAACTACTTAATTTCTGATTTGCAACCTGCTCCTGACAATTGCAGATTTCGTAAGCTCCAGACTGCTGGCCTACGATGCCTGGGAGTGCCCTGATGCCTGCCTGAGGACTTCTTATATCCCATCAGTTTGATTCCAAGCCTAGGATTCAGAATGAGTAAGAAATAAGCATTTCTCACTGGAAACACAACTGGGTTTAGAGCAAATAATTCTTGATAAAAGCTAAGCATTTGTGTGGAACCAAACTTTCCCAAGATACATACATTTGCAGTTTCTCCAGAATTTACTGCTGTAGGAGAATCTTTTAGAATATAGTATTATTTCACAAAAAATTAATATAATTTGTAATTAGCTTTGACTCAGTTGTTCAGGTTGCCCAAAAAGTCAAATGCAAATAACATTTGAAAATTAAAACATATCTGCTGCTACGATTTGTTGACTGATTCTGCTTTTCTTATCATAGTCCTCACTCTTCTTCCTTCATGTCTTTTATAAACCAATAACTGTCCACATGCTTACCACATAAATTAAAAAATAGAGTAACATCATCAAAGTACCATCACCAGTGCCCTAAATCACCACATTACCTTCCAAAAGGTCTATGTTTCTAGAAAACACAACAGTTTGTGGCTGTGTGGTGTCATCTGCCAAGCAGTACTACTCTGAATCTCAACCATCAGGTCAGTCATTCAGACGAGTGAAGCAGAAGATGAGAAATGGTTGGTTCATGATGTTTCTGACATATTCTTACTGTCTTGATGTATAGAGACCATTATCCTGCTCTGCTAACCCAACCAGTCTTGGAATTTGCCCCAGTTCACACCTGGACAACAGGGAAGTACATGTTCCCACATCATTAGGGTTCTAAAAGCATCTTGTCATAAAATATCCATGTAGGTTAGGTTGGTTTTTCTCAAATATTTCCCCAGCCCAGCACTGAGGTGCATGGCATACTCACATCGCCACCAGCAAGGACTTACAGCAGTAATACACTTGTGTGATATGAAAACTTCCGTGCAAAGAATCTGACAAGTCATGATAGCCTTGTGCTACCCCTCCATTAGAACACACACACACACACACACACACACACACACACACACACACACAAATATACAAAGGTTTTGTGTATTTTATGAATAGCTAAGCTTCTAAATGACCATCTTGCAAAAAGTAAAATTCACCTAAATGTAGGACAGAGCCATTACAGACAAAATAACTCTAGGTTGTAGGAACCATTGGTTTGCTCTTCTCTATGGTGGACCGGTAGCTAAGACCTCCCTTGTGAATTCACTGACACACCAAGGCTCTGTGAATGGCACTATCCCGTAAGGAGTTAATTGCAATCTTTGTGACCTTTCAGAGAGTTATCATTAAAGTATCTCAGTCTCAATCTTAGGAAATTTGTTTAATGTTTATGTATTTACATCTACTTGAGAGAGGTTAGAGAGAAAGAGAGAGCTCTTCCATCTACTGACTCACCCCACCCCCCAAATGCTCACAACAGACGGGCCAAACCAATGCTGGGAGTCAGGAGCCAGAAACTCCATCTACACTTCACATGTAGGTGACAGAGGCCCAAGCATTGGAATCATCATCTCTGCTGCCTCCCAGGGTGTATTAACAGGAAGCTGGCTCAGAATCAGGCGTAGTCGGCACTTAAATGAGAGGTGGGTGTCACAAACAGTGGTTTGGCCTGATGCTCCACCACACTAGCCCCAACAAGTGTTTTCCCAAATCAAAACACCTTCTGCAAATTGGAAAATACTCATTATTAAAGAGGAAATCATACCCACATTTCAACTTTTTTATTTGATGATGGAAATGATATGTTTCGCTCTTTCTCCTTTTGCTATTGCCTGAAGATTTTCTTAAGTTGTATGAATGATTTTAGTCCCTATTTATATTGTTATTACTCCTTTGACTTTGTCTCAAGAAAGCAAATATATTCTCCTGCTCTTTTCTTCTGTTAATTCTGGCCTCTGTTAATAAGAAGATATTCCAAGATCAAGTACAGGGCCTGGTGTGATAACCTAGTGGCTAAACTCCTTGCCTTGCATGCAAATGGATCCCATACAGGCACAGGTTCATGTCCTGGCTGCTCCATTTCTCAACCAGCTCCATGCTTATGGCCCAGAAAAGCAGTCAAGGATGGCCCTAAGCCTCGGCACCCTGCACCCAGGTGGTAAACCCAGAAGAAGCTCCTGGTTCCTGGCTTCAGACTGGCTCAGCTCCAGCCATTGCGGTCACTTGGGGAGTGAACCAACAAAAGGATGATCTCTTTCTCTGTATCTCTTCTCTCCGCAAATCTGCTTTTACAATAAAAATTTTTCTGAAAACCAAATGTTTTCTTTTTTAAAAAAGATCAAGCAAAAACACTCTAAATCAAGAAAAATAAATCAAGAACTATGACATTTCAGCTATTCTCTATAGGCTTACAATCATATAAGGTATGATAAGAGCCTAAAAGCAAAGTATAAAGACAAGTGTTATGCCACAGTGGAGTAAACCACTGATTGGGACACCCACATCCCATATTGGATGCCTGTGATAAGTCCCACCTCCACCTTCTGATCCAGCTTCTTACTAACACACACCCTGGCGATGCCCGAGTTCTTGGACTCCTGCCAGTCAGTTGAGAGAGCTGGGTGGAGTTTCTGGCTCCCTCCTTCAGCCAGTCCCAAATTCAGCCCTGGTAGACATTTGAGGATTGAACGCCTTGGGAGTAAGCCAACAATTGGAAGATCTCTAATTCTCATTCTCTGTCTCTCCCTTTCTGTCACTTTGCCTTTCAAAAAAAAAAAAAAAAAAAAAACAAGCCAAAAAACACAAACAAATACAAATACAAAACCTTAATACATAAGTAAAAGAAAGTCTTGACCATTGTGGTTTTATAAAAGAATCAAAGCTATGTAATAATTCTGAAAATTTTCACTTTCATGACAATCATCCACAAGTTCCTTTGCATTTCATATAGGTCACTATTACCAACATTTCCTTGACTATTCTTGTATATGCTTTCAACCCAACTACCACATGCTTCATTTCATTATTTTAATAAATATTACTATCACAATTTTGATTTTTTTTCATTTCCATGTAAGCAATATTACCCATGTCCTATAAAGAAGGTCCCTTGCGACATGGTTAGAACAAATCTGATTAGAAAAAAAATATGGGTCCAGCACAACAGCTCAACTGGCTAATCCTTCCTCTGCAACCCCAGGATCCCACATGGGCACCAGCTTGTGTCCCGACTTCTCCTCTTCCCATCGAGCTCTCTGCTTCCAGTCTGGGAAAGCAGTCAAGGATGGCCTAAAGCCTTGAGAACCTGCACCTGTGTACGAGACCTGGGAGAGACTCCTGGCTCCTGGCTTCAAGTTGGCTCATCTCTGGTCGTTGTGATAATTTGAAGAGTGAACCAGAAAATGCACGATGTTTCTTTCTGTGTCTCCTTCTGTCTATAAATCTGCCTTTCCAATAAACAGAATTACATCTTAAAAAGGGAAACAAACAAAACAGATACTTCGCCTGTCAACAACTGAATTTATTTGTATCTGTGAATGAGATAGGTTTTCACACTCAATGTTATAGAAATGCTAAAGGATAGTTATTTATTTTTTGGAATTTCTCATATACATAAATTGAATTTGCCTACATCTTAATAAACATGTACACCTTAAACAAAAACACATAATAAAGAAACATCTCCCTCATTTCTTGTTTTATTTTCGGGCCTTGGCTCATGACATTAAATTTCTTTCATCCCTGAATCCAATCACTTTTTGATGGTTGGAAATGAATATAGCTATATGCATGAAGAAGTTTTTATAGACTACAAACTCATTGACCTTTAAAAAAAGTCAAGTGTGTATACTCTGACATTTCCAGTTAACTCTTTCTGTTGTTAATTATTGCATTATTTTTAAAGAATCTAATACATAACTCAAAGTTAATAATCCAACTGATGAAATTACAAAAGAGAAGGGACATATTTATGAATCCAGGGAACAAAGTTTGACACCCTTGTGTAAACACCAGGAAAGCTTGGTCTTCCACATCCATATCCCCAGCTAACAATGCCAGTCAAAATCCATCTTCCATCACTTTTTCTTCGGCAAGATAAGGGTCCACCCGAATCTCCCTACACAAAAATATAATGTGATTACCAAGCACATTTGTCCATGATCTTCAAGTTCATCATTAATGCATCTAATGTACTGTGTTTGAGAATCCCATCTGACTTGTCTTTGCTTGACTAATTACTAAACTTTGTGGAAGTATCAAGAAATAATGTGAAATTGCTAATACCATTTTAGAATTATTTTTGCTATAACAACAACAAAAGAATACACTCATTCTCAAAAACTTGATTATTTAAGCTAACAAAAACAGCAAAAGCATCACCCAGAGGAAAATTAGAACCACATACCTCCATACAAATAAGTGTCAGTCGTAGTGGTAACAGAGATAACAAGGGCTAACATTCACTCAGTACTAGTTATGTGTTACGCATTCCTTGGGGGTGTTTATCATGACAACATTAGTTGATGTGATTGTTCTTTGCAGGTTAACTTCTGTCTCTGATCCTGCTGCCTCAACCATTGGCATGTGCTCCAGGCAAGAAGCACTTCAGTTTATTACCAAAAGTGAAGTAATTCTAAGGACCAATGGTTGAGGATGGAGAATCATTACAGAAAAATCACTCTCACCTGAAGAGTCCCTTGTGCTAGCTCTGTTCTACAAAACAAAGACTTAGATAATCCCAAGTAAGTGTTAACCATTTAGAGTATAATGTCTAGACTTTATTTTCCTACTCAATGGGAAGGAAGAGTTGTAACTTGCCCAGGTAAAAAGATAGCAATCTATATTGTCCCTGGTATCCCAACTCTACTCTTTTATATCTGGTCAGGTAAATTCTGACCATTAGGAAATTGGTTTCTTTCTTTTTTTTTTAATCATCAATGCACCAATTCTACTAACATTAATTTAATGTGCAAACTCTAATCTATAAATATACAAAGCTCAGGAGTCATCGCCTTAAAGAGACACAGGTTCTACTCCTGGCTCAGACATTTCCACCTGTGTTACACTCTTACCTCTATAGCCTAGTTTAGCCCTCTGTAAAATGAGGGAAAAGGTCTAATGCTAACGAATTTGTGTGAAGGGTCTAGCACAGTGCTTGCCCCAAAATCAGAGTTCAAAGAAGTCCTTACAATACTAAGACGAGTTTTAGTGGCATTATGGTTAAGATCCTATGGTGTGAGAATGGCCCCTGCTGTCCTCCTCCTTATCTGCTACATTATGATACTTGCAGAGATCAGGATCTCAGGCTCAGAAAGATGCTGCTCTAGCATGGCCTCCAACTGGACCACAGTCAGAGTGGCTACTAAGTGGCCTGCAAAAAAGTCATCGTTCCATTCACTTCCTTTCTCCCCCAGCCAATTTTCCATTGAAGGAGTAAATATTTTCAGAAGTTCAGTGGTTGCTGCTGGGGAAACAGGTAGTGATTCAAAAATACCATGTGCAAATGCATGTATTTGGATTTTTTTTTTTACTTTCTGATTATAAGAAAATCATGGCAGAATGATGACTGCTAACTTTATTCTCAGTTGGGGGAAAATACATGAAAACAAGAAAACTGAGTCCTTTCCCCATCTCACCCTGAACTTAAGCAGTTGGATTATAATTGCTATCTCAGCAACACAGAGAAGTTAAGCATAATACTTGCAATGGTTGTTTCCAAATCTGTGTGGATTAAACAGAAAGACACTTAGGTGGAAAGTAAAACTTGTTGGGCAAGGGGAAAGAGAGCCAACTTACTTTGCAAGCATCTCTCTTGCCTGACATGACACCTGCACAGAGCATCCGTGAAGTGATGATCCCGTAGGTGGAAACACAGAGTGTTTGATCAATGATTTCCACCTCTGCTTGCTGCAAAATAGGGGAGCCTTTATTATCTGGAAAACACATTGAAGTGTGGTAGTGGCAGTGACTGTACTCATTCAGGGCTTCATTTGAACACTTAACTCACAATAGACTGTCTTTTTTCCTCACAACAATTCTGACAGAAATTCTGTCATGAGCCCTAGTTTGCTGATGAAGAAATGGAAGTTTCACAGGTTAAAGGATTTGCACAACTGCACACAGGAGTATTCAGACCCAAGGTATGTCTTAGCCACCTAAGCCATCACTCTAACTTCCTTCACCATCTTCCTATTGCTTCCAGTAGGACTAGAAGTCAGTGACAACACCAATATTTACTGTTTGAGAAAGATCATTAAATGGAGCAGCATAATTGACCTATAAAAGTCTCTGGGGAACCATAAAAATGCAATGGCTTGGCCTTTTACTGACTTTTAACCAGTTGGGCTAACATATTCAGAAAAACAATCAGATGTACACATATACTCATGCTTATCAAGAAAGGATCTCATGATAAGTTGGTTGGGTAGAGTTTTTCTTTTGTGATATATGATCATGTAATAATGCACTGAGCACAATAAGTTAGGAAGGTTACAAGTGTTCACACAGTTAGCTGTCCTCCCTTAGTGGACCCCAAGACCTCAGGAGGCCCAAACTGGAGGTAACAAAATTACTTCAAAAACTAAACAAGAGCAGTGAACACTTAAGAACCTGCCCACAGTAAATCTCTGGAAAGTGTCAACATAAACCTTTAGGATAAAAACCAAACATTATAGATTCTACTTCTGTCCTAAACTCTTAGAAACAACTGCAAGAGAATCTGAGACAATCAATTGAGACCCCACTGTGCTTGTACAGATGGAGAAGGATATTTGTGATTGGAGGAACTGCAAAACAGCATCCTTTACAGGTGGACCAGGTAAAAGGTCTGTTTGCCACTGGCCTGATGTTAGTCACAGGCTAGTGCATCAGCTGAGCTTGAATTTGCAGCCTAGGGAGCCATGAGCAGGGTGGATGTAAGCCCCTGTTCTCACATACTGTCAGTAGTCTTGATGCAGAATGTATCTTCCACACAGTTGTCAGAGTTGGCACGATATATTGGGCTTGGGTGCCCCTTTTTCATTTATAAAAATGAATCATTCTTTTGGGTAATATGGGAACCTAACCATAACGAGGAATTGATTTTCTGTGGTAGAAAATAATAATAAGCCCTTCAGAATGTAGAGCATCCCTGGTAATGAGAGAATATGTTTTGTATATTGCTGGTTCTGCCAGTAATGTTTTGTAGGTAAAATGTAGTTTTTGAAACAGTAGGCCTCTGTGACCATGATAGTGTGATGAAAATCTCTGTTTGGTGAAAGAAAGAAAAAGAAAGAGAGAAAGAGAGGAAGAGAGGAAGAGAAGAAAGAGAAGAAAGAGAAGAAAGAAAGAAAGAAAGAAAGAAAGAAAGAAAGAAAGAAAGAAAGAAAGAAAGAAAACGAAAGAAAGACAGAGAAAAGGGCGATACTGTCTAGTCAATCCTGACTTGCTCACACAATCCCTTTCCCCCTTTTTGAGGTGAGTCCTGTATCTTTCACATCAGGAGGAGAGCATCATAAAGCATGGATAATAACACTCTGCCCCAATTTAACCTTGTAGGGAGGTCAGGAACTCAAATATTCACCAATCCTCTCTATAAACCCCAAATACAACATCACATCAGGTGTTAGCAACACTTGGAGAAGCAAATGACTGTTCATGCATACACTCACCTGCTTCATGCCTTCTCCCCCAACCAGTCACCCAGCACTTCTCCCCACTGTGCACTTTCTGGCCTGCAGGAGGAATGCATATTGGCTGAATGAGCTGTTTCAGAGACTCTGGCCAGGCGATACTGAGCTGCAGCAAAGCAATGTCATAGTCAAAGGTCTGGCTGTTGTAGTACTCATGGACCACAATTCTTCTCACCGGGGAGACAAACTTGGCATTCCCCTGCACATACATCCCAAGATGAGCAGTCCATGGTGTGGGATCTGACAGCCTGTTAGAAAAGGTAGCACAAAGTTAGTATCATGAAAAACGATATGTGATTTGGCAACAGGAACTCTATAGAAAGAGGGCTGAGAAGAGGAAGGTCTGTTTACCACTAGCCTGATGTTAGTCACAGGTTCTATCAAGGAACATAGCCAGAAGTACAAGTTCTCTGAATCCCTCCTGATCCCTTGGTAAAACCAAAGATGAAGTAAGCTGTAGCACGGAGGGCAAGTTACAGCTATATTACAGAAATCTCCTCAATAATGTCCGTGGGAGTTGCTTGGATATTTTCCTGCCACTGATATTTTATGAACCAGACACACATCAAGAATGTTGATAACCAGAACTAATTTGTTACATTCTTCCTGTGCTGACATTTGCACTAGATGCAAACAAGACTTCTACCAAGCTGGAAAGATAAGAATACTGAAAGAATACTAGAAATCAAATCATTTCAAGCAAGAATTTAACGAGATTTCTTTCTGTAAATTTGCAGAGTCTTATAGATCACTAGTCTAATTGCTCAAGATCACCACTCATGGGCTCACCAAACCGTTCCATCTCATGACAGTCTTCCCAGAACTCTAATCCTGACATCCCCACCCTGCCTGGCAACAGTCTTGAACAAGTCACACAGGGACTTATCACCAACTTGTGAGACTTTCCCCTCCACTGGAGTAGTGGTAGAGGTAAAATATGGGCATAAAGAAAGTGAAAGCTTGCAAAGAAAAATAAGGGCATCACCTACAGATGGAAGTCCCATCTCACACAATGCACTGGAGACCCGTGAGAGCATTATGGGCAATGTCACAATACCTTAACCCAAACGATCAAAGGTGACATTATTTCAGTAATGAACATGAATTATGTCATTTCTAGAAATGAATACTCGAATGGCAAAACTTGCTTAAAATGTTTTTTTAAATATTTTAAAAATGTTTTAAAAATATTCTTTTAAATGATTGAAATGGGTAGTGCTGTGGCATAGCAAGTTTAGCTGCCACCTGCAATAGCAGCTTCTCATATGGTGACTGATCCACATTTCAGCTGATTCACTTCTAATCCAGCTCACTGCTAACATACCTGGGAAAGCAGTGGAAGGTAGTCCAACTGTTGGAGCCCCTGCACTCATGTGAGTGACCTGGAAGAAGGTGCTGGCTCCTGGTTTTGGCCTGGGCTCAGCCTGGGATCAATGTGGTCATTTTGGAAGTGAATCAGCAGATAGAAGGCCTCACGCTCTCCTTCTTGTCTCTCTCTCCCTGTGCGTGTGTATGTCTATAACTCTACCTTTCAAATAAAAAAAAATCTTTTATAAATCCAGAATGAGAAGTGAATGAAGGTAGCTCTATATCTAAGATCTAGTAGATTTCAAATACAGATAAGTTTTATGGGAGATTATGAGCTTTTGTGTTGTCTTTAACTAAAAAAGCATCTGTCCCACTAGAATTCCATTGGCAAAAGCAGACATAGCCCTTCCAGTGCCACTACTCACGGGTCTTTCAAGATGCCAATCCTTGTAGCAATCCCCTGCTCAAGTCACGTACCAGTGCCTACTCTTTTCCATGTTCTCCACACATTTCCATAGACTCAGTCCCTCCGTGTTTTAAGCATTGTTTTCTCAGCCTAGTAAAACCTATTCATTCCTGATGTTCTCGTCAAATTCTTCTTCTTCTTCTTTTTTTAATAAAAAATACCTAACCACTCCATCACCAAAGGGGGGGGGGAAAAAGGTTTGTATGAACTGGTGTCAAAAACACCAACACAAAATAATTAAATTGTTCACTGTCTCCAACAGCTTGAGGGCAGATGGAAGGCCTATGGTCACAGAGTTCACCTGAAAGTAAGGATTGGGATGCCTTACCTGTTTCCGTGGAAACAGTGGGCTGCAGAGAGAAGCCACTCCCTGGAGATGACTGAGGCACCACAGTAAGCAGTTCCGATAAAGTGGAGGCTGACTTGCCATGGCCAGCCTCCCTCCAGGGTGTCAGTGCCGCCAACAATGCGGTGGAGGGTAGAGGAGCCCCTGCTGCAGCCTTTAGTAAAGGAAAATGTCACATGATGTAAAGGCAGACTGGAAAGATCTCAAGATTAAATCAAGTTGTGTGCTGAGTTGGAAACCAACTCATCCGGTAAGCAATTTGAAATATCCCGCATATCTAGAGGACAGAAGGTATGTGGATCTGTCTGAATCCAGCATCTACAAATCCCTCTTTCCTTCTTCCTGAAACCTGCTCTGATGTAGGCTGTCTCCATGCAATAATGCATGGGAGCGGGCCCGGCACGGTGGCGCAGTGGTTAAGGTCCTCGCCTTGCATGCCCGCTGGGATCCCATATGGGCGCCGGTTCTAATCCCGGCAGCCCTGATTCCCATCCAGCTCCCTGCCTGTGGCCCGGGAAAGCAGTCGAGGACGGCCCAAAGCTTTGGGACCCTGCACCCGCGTGGGAGACCCGGAAGAGGCTCCTGGCTTCGGATCGGCATAGTATCGGCCCGTTGCGCTCACTTGGGGAGTGAATCATCGGAGGGAAGATCTTCCTCTCTGTCTCTCCTCTCTGTATATCTGCCTTTCCAATAAAAATAAAATAAATCTTTAAAAAAAAAATAATGCATGGGAGCGGGAGCAGGATACATGGGAGCAGGTGGACTGCTTGACAGAAACAACAGTCCACGAATTTAGGTTGCTAGGGAGACAGGAAAAGAGAAGGACTAACTGTTACAGAATTGAGAAGCTCTTAAAGGTTGTGCTGATCTGAGAGGGAGCATTTGGGAAACAAATCAAATCTACTAAGAAAGATTATTCAGAGCAGTAGGTTTTCAGTATAAGCGATACTGATAAGATATATAATTAACATATTGCTACATGGTCAATTAGAAGCCATGTGACCTATAACAATATAAGGTAGATTGCAATTACAGGGTCTCAGTTGAAGAAAGAACCAGTATTCTATCTTGTGTGTAACGTGAGGCAGAATTAACTGTCATCTACTGCATTATGATAACTATTTCTTCTGTCACGGACATTTAAGAAATTCTATTTGTGAATGTAAAGGGCGAAGGAAAGAAGAGAAAGATCCCAACTGCTGGTTCACTCCTAAAATGTCTGCAATAGCAGACATTCTCTGAATAGTATTGTTAGAAGTTAGGAGGGCATTACTGCTTTTTGTTAGAAAACAAGGAAATAAAACTCCTAAGTTTTTATTTCTGAGAAACAATTTAATATTCTGTTCAGCAACACTTACTATTCCTCCCTGGACTTTGTTGTAAACTCTGCATCAAAAAGGAGCAAGGCTAGGAGGGAGTGAGTATGGCCATGCAGAGGGTAGAGCCATGGCCTGGAAAGCCCATATCCCATATCAGAGCTCCAGTTCAGGTCCCAAGTACACTACTTCCAATCTTATGCCTGTTAACGTGCCCGGGAGGTAGTAGATGATGTCTCAGGTTCTTAAATCACTTCTACCCACATAGAAAACTCAGATGGACTCCCATGCCCCTGCCTTCAGCCTGGCCCAGCCTTGGCCATTGCCAGTGCTTGGAAAGTGAACCAGCAGATGAAATCTTTCTGACACTTTCCTTCTGTATGTCATTCTGCCTTTCAAATAAACATTAAACACAGAAGATGCGTAGACTAAAGATGGGAGTACAGGAAATAGAAGAAGCAAATTGTTACTCACTGCAGCCTTCTTCATCACTTCCATCTGGACAGTCCACTGTCCCATCACATTTTGCATTTTGTTTCCTAAAGCAAATATCATTGCCACACTTAAAAGTTCTATTATTGCATGGGATGCCTAAAAATTAACAGAGAAAAAAGAAACCATTTTTCCTAGCCATAAGCAAATATTCACGAATGACACTGAATTTGCCAAGGACAGTTTATCCATGAAAATGCTATTTACTGCTCTGGGACAAGCATCAGGGAGAAATGAGCAGCCATACATTAAGCTGCCCATTCACCTGGACAGAGCCATTGAAAGGCAAGCACGTGGGCACACCTGCCTAGCATAAAGCAATTGTCTCTCCTTCCATTTACTGTGAAAGTCAAAGGAAGTTAGCCATTGCCTCTTTGTTATTACTTTGTCATGTTATCCAAGACAATGTTTCAGCAAATATCACTATCACTCTCAACCACTGTATAGCTTTAGGGAAAAGACAGCTGCACAGACCTTTTGAATTAGAGCATATGTGTTCACAGCCTAAAGATTTGTGTTTCTGCAAGGGCTAACACAGCATGTTCATCATGGAATCTGGCAAATTCCTTTTTATCAGGTCTTCAGTACTTACAACCTTGAGTAGTGTTAAAAGAATGTACACAATGAAACTACTGATATTCCCATAGGAATGTACACACAAGCACACAACCCAATGAAACCCCACTAGAGCAACCAACTGTTTTGTCTGGGACTGGGGGGTGAGGGGAGAGTTCCTGAGATAAGCGGTTTCTAAGAGTCAAACTGGGAAAGGTCTAGGAAAACTGGATAAGTTGATGGCCCTAATCCAGCAAAGGTCTTTAGATTCTGTTTTAGAAGAGCTCTATCCCTCCTCACTCTGAGTGCAGTTTTGCTCGTCCTGGCCATTCTCGCAGTCCCTGAAGCCATCGCAGATTAAGGGGCCATGCTGCCTGGAGGAGCTGACATTGCATACAGAACCAAGGGCCACTAGAATGAGAAAATAAAAAAAAGGCAAAAGCAGAAATACCATGAGTCTGAGACATGCATCATCGGGATTCTCTGAGGAACAGCAGTGTCAATGCAAAATGTGCAGATCAGTAATAAACTGACTTAAATTTTCTAAGTGATTATGTTCACTGAAACTGACACGATCCTTAATAAAAGCAGAGGCTTAAACTTTAACATAATTCCTAGAATTTGAGTTAGTTATACCTGGTCTTGCTTTTGCATAAATGTGGTGAATTCTAGTGAAGTGCTTGCTTATCATAACTAAATGCCAAAATAATTCCTTTCAAAAAGACAGGGACCAGGATTGTGCAGAATGAGCGCAGCCTGTCTAACCAGCATCCCATGAAGGCACCCCTTTGAGTCCTGCATGCTCCACTTCCAATCCAGCTCTCTGCTAATGTGCTTAGACAAGCAGTGGATGGAAGATGACCTATGTCTCTTGACCCCAGCACCCAGATGGAACTCCAGGCCCCTGACACAGATGGAAACACCCTCTGTCACTGACATTCATATAAGATAAACAAAACTTTATATTTTTTTAAAAAACACTTCTTTTTATTTGAAATACAGATTTTGGTGGTTTTTTGTTCGTTTGTTGTTTGTTTTTACAGAAAGAGAAGAAAAGACAACGAGAAGTTCTTCCATCTGCTGGTTCACTCCCTAAGTGGCCACAAAGCCAAAGCTGAGCTGATTCAAAGCCAGGAGCCAGACACTTCCTCCAGGTCTCCCCTGTAGGTACAGGGTCCCAAGGATTCTGGCCATCCTCTACAGCTTTCCCAGGCCACAGGCAGGGAGCTGGGCTGGAAATGGAGCAGCCAGGACACAAATTGGAACACAAAGGGGATGGAAACGCCCACAGGGTAGAGGATTAGTCTTCCACTGCATTGGCCTTGAATAAATTTTTTTTAAGATTTGTTTATTTTTATTGGAAAGGCAGATATACAGAGAGGAGGAAAGACAGAGAATAGGAAAGACAGTGATGATTCACTCCCCAAGTGACCACAATGGCCAGAGCTAAGCTGAGCTGAAGCCAGGAGCCAGGAGCTTCTTCCAGGTCTTCCACATAGGTACAGGGTCCCAAGGCTTTGGGCCATCCTCAACTGCTTTCCTAGGGCACAAGCAGGGAGCTGGATGTGAAGTGGGGCAGCTGGGATTAGAACCGGTGCCCATACGGGATCCTAGGACGTGCAAGGTAAGGACTTCAGCTACTAGGCTACCATGCTGGGCTCGAATTTTTTTTTAAAAAAAAGGTAAATCAGTATCATGAAATGTTTTCTAAATTGAACTAGTCTGTCTTCCTCAACCAAGTGGGAGTGCCCTGAGACTGGGGATTCTGTGTTTTCATTTCTGTGTCTCAAGCACTGAACAAACAGTAGGTACTCACTAAAGGTATTTGAATTAATTAACAAGAGTGATATCTTAAAGGACAATATTCTTGTGGTCTAAATGTACAAAAACTCTTTTTAAAGCTATTTTTATCATGACAGAGTCATTTTTAGAGTTAGGAATTGCTAATGGAAGTTAGTCATATTTCTCCTCCATGAAATACTTGTGAAATGCTTTTAGGCCAAGGGCAGGCACAGAATATTGTCAAGCACTTCCAGAAGGCAGAATTCCTCAGGCATTGCTAGTTCGTGAGAAGTTACAGGTTGGTAATCTGGTCCTGTGTTCCCAGGGGTCTCTGTTATCTTATTCTGTCATGTGAGGGTCGGGGAAGGATGTTGTTTCCCTGGCACAGTTCATTAGGTCTCCAAGAGCACAATGAGAAATCAGATGGACCCAAAACAGTCCTTATGATAAAGTAACAGTGTTCACTTACACTTGGAGCAGCAGAGAAGAGCAAAGCAATGTTTGAAAATAGCTCCATGACTTGTGGCTGTTGCTGAAGGACTGCACTATTGTCATAATATAAGGAGGTGGAGTGGGAAGGATGTTTGGGGAGGGTGGAAAGAGAAATTGTTGAACCTATGGAACTGTAACATGAAAAACTAAAATTTAAAAAATAGTAAGTAAAAAGCTCATGGAGCTAACATAATGGCTCATGTGGTTAATCCTCTAAGTGTAAGTGCCAGCACCCCATATAGGCACTGGTTCATGTTCCAGCTGTTCCACTTCCCATTCAGCTTCTTGCTTCCGGCCTGGGAAGGCAGCAGAGGATGGCTCAAAGCCTTTGCACTCTGCACCCATGTGGGAAACCCGGAAGAAGGTCTTGCTCTTGGCTTTGGAGCAGTCATTGCAGTCACCTGGGAATAAACCAGCATTTGAATTCTCTTTGTCTTTCCTCTCTGCAAAAAAAAAAAAAAAGGAAAAGGGCTCAGTGCAGTAGCCTAGCAACAAAAGTCTTCATCTTGCATGTTCCGGGAACCCATATGATTGCCAGTTCTAATCCCGGCAGTCCCACTTCCCATCCAGCTCTCTGCTTGTGGCCTGGGAAAGCAGTTGAGGATGACTCAAAGTCTTGGGATCGTGCACCTGTGTGTGGGAGACCTGGAAGAAGTTCCTGGCTTCAGCTCAGCTTAGCTCCAGCTGTTGTGGTCGCTTGGGGAGTGAATCATTGGACAAAAGATCTTCCTCTCTGTCTCTCCTCCTCTTTGTATATCTGACTTTCCAATTAAATAAACCTTTTTTTAAGAAGTAAAAACTTTCTGTAATCAATGAATGATCAGTACTTTTTAAAAAAATATATGAGACTTTGGATTTAAATGAACAATAGACTATAAAGTAAGATAGATTTGTTTTGGTTTGTCAAAAAGATGCTAGAGAGAAAAAGATTAAATAACAGCATCATTACAATTATATTTGCATTAAAGCTGCTGGATCTGTAGGAGAAAGTGTTGTCAATACTTCCACCTCAGGTAATGAACAATTCTTCCCACATTCTTCACTACAACAGCAGACAGACTCATGAATGAGGGGAAAATAGTAATGAAAACACAGACAGAGAATCTTCAATAAAACAGAGATATCTGTGCAAAATATGCAGGTTAAAAACACAAACCCACAGACGAAAACATTTAATTCACAAAGACCTGGACTCCATAAGCAGGCAGGCCAAAGGGATTCGCTACTCTGCACATTCTAAGCTTGTTTCTGGTCTGAGAACCTGTACTTCCAAATAGACTTTTTAAAAGATAGTGGCTCATTACGTTATTAGTCACAGATCATTGCTCCCGAGGGTATTATTATGTATTCAACTCTTGCAATGGTTCCAAAGTATGCAGAGGAAATTCCCCTGCTTTTTAAAGACCTCAACTGTGCTGCCTGCAAGGATGGTGTGTCAAGTCTAAGTCGAGGTCTTAAGAAGGGTCAAGGGTTTCTGCCTATCCCTCCTTCTCTCCCATCACTACCATGACTAATCCCTGGCTAAATCAAAACAAGTGGCGGGCCCAGCGCGGTGGCGCAAGTGGTTAAAGGTCCTTGCCTTGCACGCCCGGGATCCCATATGGGCGCTGGTTCTAATCCCGGCAGCCCCGCTTCCCTTCCAGCTCCCTGCCTGTGGCCCGGGAAAGCAGTCGAGGACGGCCCAAAGCTTTGGGACCCTGCACCAGCGTGGGAGACCTGGAGGAGGCTCCTGGCTTCGGACCGGCATAGTATCGGCCCGTTGCGCTCACTTGGGGAGTGAATCATCGGACAGAAGATCTTCCTCTCTGTCTCTCCCCTCTGTATATCTGCCTTTCCAATGAAAAAATAATAAAAATAAATCTTTAAAAAAAAAAAAAAACAAGTGGCACAAAGAGTAGACATGTTCCCAACCTAGGAAAAATTACGAGGACACAATGCTGGAAGCAGAGCCACCCAGCTGAATCCAACCCAGATCAGTTACCCCCAGCTAACCCAGGGAGCCATGATGAAAAATAAAGGATGGTTTTCCAGTCATTAGGTTTTAGGATCATTTGTTATACAGCAATGAATAACAACTACCCCGACAGGATATACAACACCAACAACCATGGCCCTGAGAAGTTGTTTGTAAGAAATTCATTTTAAAAGCTTGAATACCTACCACAGAAAAGTTCGTCACTTTCATCCAAGCAGTCATTAACTCCATCACAGCGCTGGGCCTGAGGGACACACAAACCGGAGGAGCATCTAAAAGATCCGACAGGACAAGCTACAGACAACAAAAAAGAGAACGTCTTGGGGAGGTCCCTAAAAATCAGCAGATCACATTAGCAAAGAAATCAAAAGTGCTAGGTGCTTGGAAAATTGGCAAGGTGGCAGTAGTAATTGTATCACTTCTCCATCCAATCAATGCTGCAGGTAGTTAAAAGAAAAAAAAAAAAGTACAATTTAAAAGCTGAAGGGCAAAAGCAAATTGAGTCCACAAAAACTCTAAGTGAGCATTGCATTCAACTCATATGCACAAGTGGACTGCTGCCTCCACAGCCTTGGCTCGGTTCTATGCCATTAGCACCGGCTGGCAAAATGTAAAAACAGTGAGACCCATAGGAGTATCCAGACATTCTTAAGGTGGTGGAGGAAGGTGTATCTTTTTTTTAAAAGATTTATTATTATTATTATTTTTATTGGAAAGGCGGATATACAGAGAGGAGAGACAGAGAGGAAGATCTTCCATCCGATGATTCACTCCCTAAGTGAGCACAATCCGAAGCCAGGAGCCTCTTCCGGGTCTCCCACGCGGGTGCAGGGTCCCAAAGCTTTGGGCTGTCCTTGACTGCTTTCCCAGGCCACAGGCAGGGAGCTGGATGGGAAGCGGGGGCTTCCGGGATAGAACCGGTGCCCATATGGGATCCCGGGCGTGCAAGGCGAGGACCTTAACCACTTGTGCCACCGCGCCGGGCCCCGGGAAGGTGTATCTTTAGGCTCCCTTATGAAATTATAAAGGGATTCCAGGTATTTCTGAATTTTCTGTGGTCAGATGTAAAATTGCACATGCCTTTAATCAGATTTCAAGTGATTCCTGTTCCAAAATACATTATAAATTCTGATTTTATCAAGTGGAAAATAGTGAGATTACTGACTGGTTTCAAAGCTCAGAGCTCCTGACTCTTATCGCATTGACCATCATTCTTTCCATGTCAACCAAGGAAATGGCTCCCTGACTGGATTTGGGTCATTAATCTTGAGCTTACAGATAAATGTTCCAGAAAGACTACGTTTTCATCCACTGTGCAAAACAATGGGAGCATGCTTTAGCAGTTCAACCACAGTCTCAGCGTCACATGACAGAGTGGACATGCCATGGGAAGGTGGACAGGAATAGAAGGAAAAGGGGAGACAGGTGTTGGCCTGACAGTGAAGACACCCTCTGAAGCACAAGCATTCTACATCCAAGGACCCAGGTTCACGCCTACCTCCAGTTTCTGACTGTAGCTTCCTACTGGTTTAGACCCTGGGAGGTAGTTGTGATTCTCCCGTAATTGTCTTCCTGCCACTTACATGGGGGACTTGGACTACATTTTAGCTCTTAATTCACTCTCTTAGCTCACCTCTCCCATTTTTTTTTTTAAAGTTAAAGCCAATATAGAATTTCCTCAGCAAGTCATTATCTGCTCTCCACAGTGCTAATGACTTCCCTTCTGCTGACCACTTCCTGGCTACTAATTTAGCAATTTTCAGTGTGAACTTTAAGTTCAACATTCTAGGTAGTAGTATTTGGATTCTCTTGACCATTTTTCTCCGTGTATCACAGGATAAAATCACAATAATTAGTCTTGAAAATACTGTCGCTATAACCATCACATTCACAATGTGACAGCTACCATAAAGAACAACAAAACCAGGAAATGATTCCTCCTATATTTCAGGAATGATGTGAAAAATTAATTTTCAACTATAAATTGATAATATCAAAAAGTTATATTATTTCTCTTATAATTTAAAATATTACAAAAATGTACAATTTTATATATCACTTATTTTATGTTATTTGTATTTGATCTTTATTGTGTATACAAAATTTCATGGACAAACAAATGAAAATAAACTTATTTGCATGCAAAAAAGTTTGACATCCAGGCATAGCTTTCCCATGATATCGTTATGAAGACCTTCATAAAAACGAATTTATCATAAGAATAATATATGCAACAAAATAGCATGTATTAAACACTGTTCATTCCCATCCTCAAAGCCTGAGTTATAAAGTAGCTCTATGTAGGTATTAATTAGCTGCTTAAAAGCTTAAAAACAGTTGATCCGTAGACTTACGTTGGCTGATGTTGTAACTGCCGTATTCCACCAGAAGTGGCTTGTCTGAAAGCCCTGAACTACCCCGGAGCTGAATGTGCACCAGAGGGCTGGGCACTCGGAAGATGGTCTGGTGATCCATGTAGAAGCCACAATACCTGCAGACAGGGAAGATGTGGATTGTCAATGGTGTCCCTGTTGGCAGTGAATTCACTAACTCTGGTCATTTGGGTTTCATTTGGGTACAGGTCCCTACAGCAGAGCTAATGGCAACTATCCAGTCTATATTCTGATTGCCACTTGGGGAAGGCTGCCTTAATTGGTTCTTCTGCTGAGTAGAACAACAGTGCCATTAACCTGTTGCTTTTCTCACCAGCACTTAGAATCTGAAGAAATGTAGATTGAGTCCTCCCAGTACCCTCTTCTCTGTGTGTGTGTGTGTGTGTGTGTAAAAAGGCTTTGTCCCACAAGCCTCTCTAATAGCAGAGTGAAATTCATTAATTCATGCTGAAAATATGCCAAGAATTCCAGCAACATAAAAGCAAAGGACAACAGCATTATTCAAGCTAAGTTGAAATCCAAAGTGCATCCAAGGTGTCAGTGCTCATCCTTGGCACATTTCAAAGAAGTAATATCTGTTAACAATATTTCACTGCTCTCTCTCTCTCTCTCTCTGTGTTTTGTTTTGTTTTTTCGCCTTGTCACCTAAAGTCCTCTACTCTGATTTCCCAGTATTGTCCTGAGAAACTGCCCTTTTGTTCATGCTTTCAACATGAGCATTGTGGTTAGTGCAACATGGAATATTAGCATGCTGTTGGCAGATGATAAGTGAAAATTTCATGGAACTCAAGGCATGAGGAACCCAGGGATTCCACTGGAACCTGTGAATGTCAATCATGCTAGGCCCCCAAAGCACTCAGATTCCATGGATCAGACACTGGCCTTCAGGCATGCACATCATTGATGATTTCAAGGCTTCAAGGAGGAAAGCATTCACTGTTATTCAGAAAGACATTTACAACTGTTTGAAGTACAGGAACAGATGGGCTGAGAGACCAGTCCTTGAAGTACAAAAAAGAGGTAACAGATGTATGTGGTCACTTGGCAAGTGGAAGCAGTGCCTAAGCCAGAACCTGTGGAAGCAGTGCCTAAGCCAGAACCTGAGCAAGAGGCAACTGAAAGGAAATCTGACTTTAAGGGGTCAGAGTCTACCCCTGTTGGATACACTGAGATCAGAACCATGCTCTAAAATCATGATTGTGTCGTCTGTAACTCAAGATTATTATTTTTACTCAATACACTATGGTTTGGAATTTCATTTCCAGGAGGACTGCCATGGATATATTAAGGGGAATTTAGTGGGAAAGGATCTTCTGCATCTAGGTTAGGGCTAGGTTTAAAGATAGCTTGCAGTGGGCCTGATGATAAAAATGTTAACAGTGAGATTGGGGAAATCCCACCAAAAGCTAGTTTACATGGACACACAGAGGGCCAGTAAGGGAAGGGAGATGTAAAGAAGTGACTTTCCGAAGTCCAAATAGCAGCATTTGGACACATGTTAGCCTGACGCTAACCTGCAGGACTTGCCAGCACAGCTAAAGAAGGTGAAAGTGGTCCACACCTGTAAGGTGGATACACTGCTTACACTATATCTTAGCTTCCCACAGAACTGTTCTCTGAAAGACCTGAGGGAATTGGGCCTCCTCCACTCAGCATTCATTTACACTCCTCCTTCTGCTCCTAACACAAGGCCCTTAGGCTAACTTCTCAGCAAGATGTGATAAGTTCAATTAGAGCCTTTCCTTTTTAGATGAAAGGAACTGATAATGGGGAAAGTTTGGCATTTTAACTCCCGGGAGTACCATCAGCTTTTAAAGAATCTAAGTGGATTCCAGCCACTTAACTTCAAGTAGTTCCCTTCAGGGAAACTGTTTAGAAAGCTTTCCTGGTATTGCTTGGGAGGAGGCCCTGTCTCCACATTGGCACACTGCACCCTGGGCTGCTGCTTTTACTAATTAGGAGAAAAATAGTACCCCATTTTCAAAGTATGGGCCTATTATCATCTGACAATCTCACAGAAGATTTGTAATGGTTTGTTTTCTGGATCTCTATTTTAATTGGATTTTAAATTTAATTTTGGCAGCACTATGAAAGGCTTGGGTGCATTCTATCCTCTTTATCCAGCTGATGTGATGCCCAAAGCATTCTTACTATTCATGTTAATAACGGCTAATGTTTTTTAACGTGTAGTATACACAATTTAATTAAATTCTAACAAAATAAATAAAAACCCTTACTATGGAGGCTGAAAGTCATGGTGGAGTTTGGGGGTGAGGGTGCAGTGCACTTAGGATGTCCATATGCCATCTCTAAGTGCTTTACTTCAAGAACCATTTCCATTCCCAATTCAGCTTTCTGCCCCTAGGAGCAGCATATGGTGACTCAAATTCCTGAGACCTGAATTTACTTTCCAGTTCTTTCTGCCTGACCCAGCCCTGGCTGTTGAGGGCATTTGGGTAGTGAATCAGTGGAAGGAGAATCTCAATCTACCTTTGTCTTACTGTTTCTCTGCCTTTCAAATAAGCAAATAAGTTTTATAAGTGAAAACTGAGGCCAGTGTTGCTGTACAGCTAATTAAGCAACTGCTTGAAATGCCCACATCCTACAGTAGAATGCTGGTTTCAGTTCAGGCTTTATACATGTGACCCAGCTCCTTGCTAAAGTACCTGGGAAAGAGTAAATGAAGTGTAAGGGCTTGCATTTCTGGCAGCCCTGTGCAAAAGCCAGAAACAGTTCCTGGCTCTTCTCTCCCTTCTTTCTGCCTTTTCTTTCTCTCTTGACACTGTGCCTTACAAATAGATTAATTATATCTTGGAAAAAAATTTTTAAATGCATAAAGACTGAAAACCAAAGAGGCCCAAGAATGTGTCCTACTTAAGAGAGCTACTAAACAACAGGGTTGGAATTTGAACTAACGTCTCCTGACCCTTATACAATAAACCTTTGATTCAATTATATTCCCCAAAGGAATACAGACTGTATTTTAACAATGGATCCAAGGGCACTTTCAAATGTGACAGGGCCTGTTCCAGTGAAGCTAAAGCCACTTGTCTGTATAAAGGAGGACCTGGAGGCAGCCTGTTGAGAAAGAGTGCTTAGGAGAGGAAGGTTTCTACAAGGAAAAGCAGCCCAGATCTTTTAACCTCATGGAATTCTCTGAAGCTCACCTGGGAATGTGTTTGGCTGGCAAGACAGGACCTCCTGTGTATTTGAATTCAGCTGAATGTCAAGTACAGCTTTTGAAGCAAGTAAGCAACAACAAAGGAAAAGCTGAGTCAAGAATTCCTAGGTTGGGTCCAGAAACCCAAGCGCCTAGATTTCTCTGGCTTTCTTTTCTGATTAACTTTGCCCATTCCAAAACCTTAAGATCCAGCTGGCCAATCTGGCTCTCCTGCTGCTGAGATCTGGCCTCTAATTTTAATATCATTAGATCCCTGTATATTATTTTCCCTGTAGCTCGAGGATCTGAAAACTATCTGCCAATTACTTTTGTAAAGTGTCGATTATTCACATCAATAGCCCAGCAGCATACAGCAGGTGGCATAGGATTCCTAACCATGGGTATGAATCCTTCTTCAGTCATACAGAGCTGAGTTTCCTTAAGCAGTTACTAACTCCCGTACCTTTTAAGGTCCTTCTCTGTACATAACAAAGTGCAGATTCTCTGGGGGACAAGAAACCCAAGCCATGAAGCCTTCATCAGATGCTTCACATATGGGAATCACTTACATGTGTTCGTTAATTTCCCACCATCCGTGCTCGCACCCTTTTACACTTTTCTTGGTTATTGAATAGTTATGAAATTTCAGTGCTACACCAAGAGTTGACAGGGGGGTCTGTGAAAAACAAACATCAAGTCAGAATATGCTTCAAAGGGCATGCTTAAAACTAAAAAAAAAAAATAAATAAATTCCACACTCCTTACACCTTCTGCGTGTTGTTTTAGGGATATTCTAATCCTTTTGCCCTTTGTAGGAGGAGACCCCACAATGCAGGAGCAGAAGGAGACAGGTTTAGGTTTGTGCTAGCAGTGAAGAAACTGGTTAGGAAGGCTGCATCGCAAGGTGGCACGCTGTATGTTCTTGATTCATATTTCCTGTTCATGTAGATCATGGAGACAGTGGTGACGGTTCAAGGGGTTGGGTTCCTGCCTTCCACGGGAAAAACTTAGATGAGTTCTTGATTCCTGACTTCTGTCCTGCCCAGGCCCTGCCATTGCAGGCATTTGGGAAGTGAAAAGGCACATAGCAATGCCCTCTCTCCTCTCAAATGAATATACAATTTTAGGGGTGGGGAAGGAGGAGAGAGAGAAGGCTCAGGGACCAACTGTTGTGTCCCACACAGATCCGAATGAGGGGACACACTCTGGATTTCAGTTTCCTCTTGTTGGATGAGCTTAATTCTGAGAGCACGTGTTAGTTGATGACTGCAAACACATCCCTCTGTTAATGAAAGCAATGGCATGACTTAATTGAAGCGTCTGTCATATTCTTTAGAAAAGGGAGAAATGAATCATTGTTCTCTCCTAGTGAGCTTAGGTATTTTTGAAAGCTGTTACTGAATCATCTTTAGTTTTCTTAGAAAAGAATCTCTTATGTGTGTGAACACACTGCACCTGACGTGCATGTTTCATTGGGTAATGTGTGCCACACATTATGTACCAATATGGAAAATTTTTTGTTTTGAGTTTCATGTGACTCATGAATCATTTAACAGAGTTTTGTTTTGTTTTGTTTACATTTCCAAGATGTAAGTTTTTAATTCATCCATTCTCAATTTTTCAAATTCAATCTAATTAGACAAAATATGACTGTCCATTCTGCTTTTACAACTTATTATAGATTTTGCTATGATAAAATGTATAAATTCTCCACAGTCATTTGAAAAAAGTATTTCTGCTTATCCCTCCAAACTCATTGGAAAAGACAGTCAAGGACTGTCTTGCTGCATGGAACAGCCCTCTAACTGTGGCACATGCAGATTCCTAGCCTTACTTACTTTCCCTCTTTATCTGTCTTGAATCAAGAAAAGGAAAGTAAAATCTCCTTTTTTATAAACGCTGTCCTCTTGTCTCTGTATTTTCCCTTTGTGCTGCTGCTGTATGGGTAAGGCTGCTATGTCATTTGCTGCGTGAATGCTTGTCATGGCTAGATCTTGTGGATCTTCTTTTCATTGTAGATTGTCTTATTTTTCTTACTTTCTTCTTTTAAAAGATTTAATGGGTTTTTTTTAATTGGAAAGGCAGATTACACAGAGAAAGAGAGAGAAAGCTGATTCACTCCAAAGGGCAGCAACTATGGGGGCAGCAGAAGTGTAGCCCGTCTGACGCCAGGAGCTTCCTCCGGGTCTCCCATGGAGGTATCGTACCCAAGGACTTGTATGACCTTCCACTGCTTTCCCAGGCCATAAGTAGTGAGGTGGATTAGAAGCAGAGCAGCCGGGACATGAACCAGCACCCATATGTGATGCCAGAACTGCAAGGTGGAGGATTAGTCAAGGGAACCATCACACTAGCCTCTCTTACTTTAAAATCATGAATATTGTTGCCTGATTACAGTGTTACCCGAAATTGTTATTTCTACTTTTTTTTTGTTTATACTTACCTGTTATGAAGATACCTATCATTTTTTGTTTCTTCAGTTGTTTTTGAAAGCAAGACAAAGTTCAGTTCTAGGTAACAGTTTGTAATTAAATGTAATTTAATACAGTTCTAGGTAACAGTTTGTAATTAAATGGCTCTGACAGACATTTGGCTTTAATTATGTCATCATCTTTGTTATGCTCCTATATGTGTTTGCATCTATGTAACTGTGTTTAATTCAGTAACTGAGATGGAGCCAGGATGAGGCCAGCAGCTGTGAACTCAAGTCAGGCCTATCGGTGGGTGGCATGGAGCTAAGTATTTCAGTCACGACCTGTCTCCTCTCAGGATGTGCATTGCCAGGAAGCTGGGATTTGGAGCAGAGCTGGGACCCAGACTCAGGCACTCTACTGTAGGAGTCAGGCATCTCGAACAGTAGCTTGGCCCACTTGGCCCAACACTTGCCCCTCTTTCTCATTGACACATCACATCATTGTATTAGGCAAGTGTTATGATTCCCATTTTACAGAAGGAAACAAGGCTAGCCTAACATAAGTTCCATTCCCTGGTGAGGATTGAGTGCATACCAGATTTCAAGCTAGTCCCACATTCTATCAGAGTTCCTCCTTTTTCCAGGAACTTCATCCTACGTGAACACCAATGGGCAGGGCTCAAAAGCTACAGGATTGCCTTACCCTCACCAAAAGCCCAGGACTAGTGAGAGCACATACTGTTTCTTTTAAGCCTTTCCTTTTCACTTGGTAATCTCTTCAGATTAAAAGTAGATATATTCAGCATACTGTATAAATGCAAACTAAGACTTTTGTTACTACATCTTCCAGTATAATACTGTACCAGTACACTTAGACATTTTCACTGTGTTCCACTACTTCAAAAGGAAATGCATGCTATGGAAATCCACCAATCCACTGAGTCTCTCCAAAATGAAAGTCAGTGAATTCTGTTGCGCATGGCTTCTAGTAACACAGGACTTCACACAACGTGACCTTTGTGTGCAGATTGGCCCTGGAGCACCACTGATACAAATCTGCTTGGTAAATGGAGGAAAGGGGCACTATTTCAGTGTATGTCATGCTATTTCAACAAATGAGCCAAAAAACAAGTTCACTATCTCCTTGTACTTCTGTGTTCTCAGTTTTCAGTCTCTATTACCTTACATTTGCATTGGAAAATCTACCCAAGCGAAAGGAGGAACTCTTCCAATTGGGATCTATGATACTGAGTGTTTCTCTAGTCAGTGGTGGCAACAGATGGCAGTGCACAGGTTATCTGTCAGTAATGCCTAATTTGCCAGTGGCTGCATGAATGTTCACACGACACCTGCATCCCCTTCAGATGAGCGCTGGAGATCCCTGTGGCAAAAGTGCCTGCATATTTCCTTCACAGGAGCAGGGAAGAGGAGCTGTCCAAGCAATGTGAAGAGAGGACTTGAACAGCACTTAGTAATCCCTGTTGGAATTGGGTGGACCTAAACAGGATGGTTTCAGGCTGATGACATTTGTGATGGAACAAAGGCACTGCTGCATTTTCTAAGATTCGTAAAGTTAGTGGAATACTCAAAGAAGGAAGGTAGAGAAGAAGCAAATGTCCAGCCGAGCAGTTGTTATAAAACTCAGAGAAGCCAAACGTCCACAGCAAAGAGGGGGAGGAACTGAACTTAGGGACGCAGCTTGATTCTTTTATCCGTACCTACGGCTTCTATCCCTACCATATACACAGCACATCTCTAGCAAAATGATTTGCCCCCATCTCCACTTCCTTCACTGTAAAATATAATGAGACAGAATCTATGTCAATGGTATGTTTTGAGTTGCCAGTAAGAATATATGTGTTGAAAACACTATAATGTCAAGCAAACACAGACAAATACAATGAACTGAGCACTCATGTATGGTTTTAGTATTTCTCTTCACCATACCATTTGTAAGCCCTGTGAGAACACGGGCTTCATTTTCCTTAATGGTCTCATGTGGTACCTGACACCACTGGCATTTAGTTAGAGATCATGGGGGAAGAAACTCATGGTCTTTAGGCTGAAGCAAGAGCTAATCTTTCTCAGATGGATGAAACCTTAAAACTCAGCTGAAGGTGAATTCTCAAACAGAGTTGATTGCTCTTCAGTAAATTTTGCAAATAGGATCAGGCACTAAGCAGGACTGTAGATAAAAATCAGCTATTGGCTAAAAAAAAAGTTCTGCCATGACTTGAGTCATTGTTTTTTTCATAAGTCATCTGGTTCTTAGTTGTTTTTAATAGATTTGAAGCTATTGCACAGGTGGAAAAAAAGGTTTAACACTAATTTCCATTCATAGAAATCCACTCTCACTTTGCCAGAGTCCCAAACTCTCAGAAAAAGGAAGTGCCTCATTTAACCTCCATACCGAGAGGATACTTGACTCTGGGAAACTGGGTCAGCTTCAGTGTTTGGCCCTGCTCCGTGCCTCTGCCTCCCACTGCCCACACTCCAGTGATTTGCTCTTTTCCTCATTCTTGGCATTAATGTTTCCAAATCCTTACTCCTAACGTATTCTTACTTACAGTGTGGCTGAAAATTGTAGCAACATTAGGAGTTTTCATCTTAAGTGTATTGGTTATCATGGAATCAAAATTTATTGTGTATCAGGAATTCCAAACATTTCACAGGGCTCCTACAATGTTACCTTCTTCATTCCAGCTAGCCTAGGATGACCAGCCTGGGTTTGGGGATTTGGTATTTTTCCATCTCTTTCCCCAACCTCTGCTTACGCTGCCTCCTACCTTCCCTTTCCTCCACCCTTTAACTTACTGCCTACCCGAGGCCCTGTGCTTTTGCGGCCTTGAAAATGAGCAAGCAGCCAACAGCTTAATAATTTCATTAATTTGAAAATGCTTGTGACAGTGATTAAAATAAAACCTAAGGATGCAAGCCATCAGAATGTTTAAACAATTTGGCTGCTAAGACTATGCAGAAGTCAACATACATGCTTCAAATCCCCTCCTGCTTCCTTCTGCTACTGCTTTTTTCTCCTGGGCAGTCTCATGGCTAGCTTCCTTATGCATCAAGTTTCTCTGCAAATGTTCCTTATCAGTGAGGATTTTTGACTATCCCATTTAAGGAAACAAATCCCTACATTTCTTCCCCTCACTCACTTACTGCCACTCTATGGTCTCCTTCCAGCTTTATTTTTCTCCATAGCACTGTTTCTCCTTGTGCCATCCCACATACACTGGCCTCGTTCACTATCTAGACAAGCTCTCTGAGAGCAAGATGCTTTATTTTCAGGCTTTATGGATTCCCAATGTCTAGACCCCTTGTAGTTACTCAAGAACAAACTCAATGAACACAGACTACAAACTCCTTGTCACACAACCCAATGACTCTCTCCACATCATAAAAGCAGCATGTATACTGAATGAGCAAAGAGAACATGTGACCCTATATCCATATGAAACTATAGTAAAATACACACACACAATTTTACAGCCTGATATTCAAAGACAGCAGAAGGGCATGGCACTGTGGCAAAAACAGCATCCTATGTGGAAGCACTGGCTCAAGTCCCAGCTGCTCCACTTCTAACCCAGCTCCTGGCTAAGGTTCCTGGGACAGCAACACAAGATAGCCCATGGAATTGGGTTCCTGCTATGTGGAAGATCACATGGTATTCCCAGTTCCTGGCTTCTATCTAGTCCAGCTCTTAGCCATTGCAGCCATTTGGGAAATGAAACAGTGGATGAAATACCTCTGTGTGTGTGTGTGTGTGTGTGTGTGTGTGTGTGTGTGTGTAGTTATCAAAAGGAGCTAAAAGAGATGTATATTTGATGTAATGTCATGCTTTTTGCTTATAAAATAAAAATGTAAATGTATATTTTCTAATCCAATTATTCTTAATTATGGCCATTATGATGGAGTAATTATGAATGTAAAAATGCTCCTTACCATAATAAAAATAACCGTTTGATCCCCCCAAATTCTGTATTATTTAGGACAAATAAACAAAATTAATTGGGAAAATTAGCTCCTTGTCTTCTAAGAGAAGATGATTCGTGAACAGAGGGTTAAAATGGCAGGAAACTTGGATAATATGTTGCTAAGATTTAAATTTTTAAAAATTCAGTGATAATCATTTTGCAATTTGAAAAATAAGGTGGCAGAATTAAAAAATAAAATACTACTAGAAACAGAATAGCAATGCTTTTGTAAGATACTGGTAAAATTCAGCTACCTGAAATTTCCAGGTACACTTGCACTTTGGAGGATAGTAGCTCGGGTAATACGGACTTGAAATCGTCCCTTCAAAGCTGGTGATTTCTTTGACCTGCACCGTGTTTTCACACTCTGGAAAAAAAAAAAACAATAATTCTCAATGATTTACAGCTGTGAGATTAGAGAAAACTACCCAGCTGCATTTCTTTAATTACAAATATAATTTCTTGACTAATAAACTAATGCCTTTTCTGACTTTTGCTTTTTAAAGAAGTAACACCCTACAAATTTATGGCTGAAAGACTTCTTTCTCATAAACTTGCTTTTACATCCTATGTTACAGCTGCAGATCTGAAGCTTGCCATTACGCTCTTAAAATGTGGGTCTGAACTCAGAGACACCTGCAACTTGCCCTGCAGCCCCTGCCCACCGTCTGACTTGATCATCCCATGTTCCCCAGCCCTGAGAGCTGCTGTCACTTTCTACATGTATACCATCCACACTACCCTGACGTTCTTACCTGTTTGACCTCCTGGATTACCTAATGAACACTTTATACTGAGTTAATAGCTGTTCATTAAGTTCACTTGGTTAAAATCACGAACGCAGTTCCAGGTCTGTGGCACAGTTCATGTTCCAGCTGCTCCACCTCACATCCAGATCCCTGCCTGTGACCTGGGAAAGCAGTCAAAGATGGCCCAAAGCCTTGCGACCCTGCACATGCATAGGAGACCCTGAAGAGGCTCCAGGCGCCTAGCTTCAGATCAGCTCAGTTCCAGCCATTTTGGCCATCTGGGGAGCTAACTAGCAGATGGAAGACCTCTCTCTCTCGCTCTCTGTCTTCCTTTGTTTCTGTAAAATCTACCTTTCAAATAAAAATAAATTTAAAATATTTTAAAACATCACTAATATGACATCCCTCTTCCAACAGGACCCTGACTCAGAGTCTCTCACTAGTACCACAACCATGAAAGTGAAGCCTCAGGAAAGCTGGAAGCTTCGATCTCCAGGTTCTATTAACAGAGTATCGCACAAATATTTTCAAAGTAACTTTTTTTTTAATTGGGAAAGACTTACTTTGCTCTGGAATGACCTCAAAATATGCCCGGATTCCTGATAACCTTCTTATATGAGGAGATTTAAATGTCACCAACATGAGATTATTTGTAGATACAAATGATATTAATGTCCTTGTGGGCTCACAAATTCTGAAAACAAACAAAATAAATGCACATGAAAAATAAGTGGAGGACTGGACTTTCATCTAGTCCTGACTTCACACATGTCAGAATTATCCACACAGATGCTGTGAGAAAGTCTCTGCCAACCAGCTCTTCGTCAGTCAGTAAACACAGGGAGCTACCAATAGCACAGACCGGAAAAGTACAGAAGCTTCTGTCCAGTAATGATTATCATAGGATTCTCATGACATGGCCACACTAGACCCTCTTAAGAGCAAACAAGACTTGAAAGAGACAGGTATTGGGCCCAGCATGGTAGCCTAGCAGCTAAAGTCCTTGCCTTGCATGTGCCAGGATCCCATATGGGCACCAGTTCCAATCTCGGCTGCCCCACTTCTCATCCAGCTCCTTGTGGCCTGGGAAAGCAGTGAAGGACACCTCAAAGCCTTGGGACCCTGCACCCACACGGGAGACCTAAAAGAGGCTCTGGGCTCCTGGCTTCGGGTCGGCATAGTTCCAGCCATTGCAGCTGCTTGGCGAGTGCATCATCAGAGGGAAGATCTTCCTCTCTGTCTCCCCTCCTCTCTGCATATCAGCCTTCATAACAAAAAATAAAAGAGCTAGGTATTCCTCTGCTGTTAGGAAGGCTGGGCTCAAAACTCAGCATCTTCATTTAGCTCGGCAATCAAGTAACCGTAAGTTAGAAAGCAGTAGCTTCCCTTCTATGAAATGTTTGTGACAACAACAGAGTGTTTCTCATTGTACTTCGGTGAGGAATAATTGAGATAATACGATGTCTGAAATGCTGAAAAGAAACTGGCAGCAGTGATTGAGGAATGGGAGCCAATGCAGAGCTACTTTTAACTGAATACCCTACTATATTAGTCGACTTTTGGCATGCAGACTCACAACCAAACACATGAGAACACATATGTAAACATGCATAAAAGGCTGTTACCTACATGCATAAACAGCACAAGCAGGAAGAGAAGTGCAAACATTTGGCACAGCAGCAAGATGCCACTTGGATGATCACGTCCGCTATCAGGGCGCCTGGCTGCAGTTCTGAATCCACATCTGGCCCCAGATTCCTACTAACACACACCCTGGGAGGCAGCATGTGATGGCTCAAGCACTTGGGTTACCCACATGAAACACTTAGATGATATTCTAGGATCCTGCATTGGTCTGGTGAAGCCCCAGCTATTGCAGGCATTTGAGAAGTGTACCAGCAGATGAAACGACTTATGTTAAAATGCAACAGAAATTTGTTCCAGGTAAATGAAATCCTGAAATAGCTGATTTTTTTTTTTTTTGCTAATTAATCCTATGTTTTACAATGCAGATATGTCATCTTTGCAGCACGAAGAAAAAAAAAACCAATTGTTTCACTAACACTATGCATAGGATACTTATTCTTACACTCTGTTAAAGGGATTAGGCTTCAGAATAATTTGCAGTAAGAGCAAAATTAGAAATCTCATGTTTCAAATTCACTGGCTGAAGTTCTTGCTATGCTGATTTTGAGAGTCTCATACACTAACAGTGGAAAACATCAAAAGCTGAAGTCCACAGAGCACTAAAAAGAGCAAGGGTCGGCCATGATTCCTCACAGAAGCATCTCTTTTAAAAGCTTTCTTTTAAGAGGAATCCAGAGACTGCAAAGTAGAGACACTGTAAGAAGTGTTTTCCCCATCAGCACAGAGCGTTTGCATGCTACCTGTACAAGACAGTGCTCCGGATTGGCAAGAGGGAGTCGTAAATGGTCAAGGAGTCGGTGACACAGTTGTCAGCTTCGATTTGGATGGACTCGATGGAGAGGCGAATCAGGTATCCCACGATGGCCACCAGCTTGAAGTGACACACCAGCCTCCCTGAGGTCGCAGACATCTCCACAGGGTAGCGGAGGGACAGTTGCTCTGCGTAGACATACTGAGAGCAAACCTTGTCTGTGGAAACAGAATGGTCTTTTTTTTCGTGCTTTCTTGGTTTAGGAGATGACTTTTCTGGTAATCCTGATAGGACAGTATAGGGCAAAGGGCATGATGTGGAAAACATTGGCCATCCTCACCAGTCAAGAATCCGATTCCCTCTTTTCGGGTAACAGCACCTAGATTTTACTTTGATAAGCTGCCTCTGTTCTGCATACATAGTTTGGTTTGGGTTAAACTCAGCCCCCACCCCCCAATTCTAGAGATGAGCACATGACAGACTGGCCCAAGTCAAGAAATGGGTTCAGGTGTTATGGACTAAGAAGCTGATTAGTGCTCCCATTGGGCTGGGCAGGAACAGGAACTGGGCTTGTAGCTAAAAACACCTAGCCTAATTGGACTCATCTGTATCCAATTTCCTGACTAAATTAGGACCTGGTGTGTGTGTGGGGGGGAGTATATAAGGAGAGGTGAAGGAGCAATAAAGAAAGATTTCTACCATCACTGGTCTCCTGTCAGTGCTTCATCCCCAGACTCTCTTCCTAGCCAGAGTATTCAGGAACATGTACTTGGCACAGCAGTTACAATGCTGCTTGGGGCACCCACACCCCATATTGAAGTGGCTCTAATGTGAGCTCCACTACAAATTCCAGCTTCCTGCTAGTGTATCCCTGGGAGGCAGCAGATAATGTTATAAGAGAGTAAAAGGTTGAGTCCCTGCCATTGACAGGGGTGATCTTAATTAATTTCCCTGTTTCTGATTTGGCCTGGACCAGCCTTGGCTACTGAGGAGTCAACCAGCAAACAGAATAATCTCTCTCTCTTTTTTTCTTTTAAAAATGATTTATTTATTTTTGCTGGAAAATCAGATTTACAGAGAGAAGGAGACAGAGACAAAGATCTTCCATCTGCTGGTTTGCTTCCCAGATGGCTGCAATTACCAGAGTTGAGCTGATCCAAAGCCAGGAGTTAGGAGCCCCTTCCAGGTCTCATGTGGGTGCAGGGTCCCAGGGTTTGAGCCATCGTCAACTGCTTCCCCAGGCCATAAGTAGGGAGTTGGATGGGAAGTGGAGCAGCCAGGATTAGAACCAGCACCCATATGGGAGCCCAGCACATGCAAGGCAAGAATTTTAGCCACCAAGCTACTTTGCCAAGCCCTCTTTCTCTGTTTTACATATAAATAAAAATGTTAGTTCAGAATTGGACAGCCATAAATGGTCAATAAAACCCAGCATCAGGGCAAATGAGAATAATCTTGCAAAAACTACTAGAAAAAATTATGTGTGTGTGAGAAATAGGGGTGATTTCCATGATACTTGCGAAAACAAGAAATCACACACTTGGATATTCTGGTTACCATTTACAGCACCACAATGGAAGAACACATTTGATAATGTAGCCGTAACAGAAGACAGCAATGGAAGAGTCCCATATTTTATTTTACAACCTAGATTCAGCCATGTCTGAAGCCAGAACACTCCATGTTTATAACAGGTGTATGAGCCAGTCAAGTCTTGTTTTTAAACTAGTTTGTATGTATTTGCAACTAAAAGGGGCACTGAGAAACACCATCATTGGAGAAGGAGGAAAACGGGCAAAAAGCATCTAAATGGGAGCAGGTTTGAGAGATAGCAGACACTGTAAAAAATCTTACCAGATCCTATAGTGGAGGAGTAATCTGATCGAAGCCCAGCTGCATTAAGAAAGCACAGAAGAGTCAGCTAGCGCTTTCACTTCATTTTGCCAGAGTGATTTTAATAAACATTATTTTCAATCCCTTTGTTTAAAAGAAATCAAACATATCTGGAATTTGTTTTAAAATAATATTCAGTGAGGGTTGAGGAGCTTGTTCAAGTATTTAGAGGTCAAACAAGAGTGCAATAAACTGATAGTTGTTGAAGTTGAGTCTGAATGAGAATTTGTTATACACTTCCTTTCACTTCTGTAGCCTTGAAACCATTCATAGTTACAAGATTCAGACATCTTAAAGGTATAAAAAGCAACCAAACCAAATACACTAATTAATTCCATGCCTGAAATAGTAAAATTAGTGTAGGTTTTTCCACAAGAGGTTTTTCATCCATTCCTTTGTATATAATCTAGCAGCCAACCACTGTATGCCTACATATGTGTATATATTTATTATATACATATGTAATAAAAGCTGTATACATTTGGGAATCTATCATACTTAAACCATTTCACTGTCAGGACAAATTATTACATTTGCATTTGACAAGCGTAGGGAGCAGGCAATTTCGGAACATGGATCAAGGCTCTATAATGTAGATGCATTACCTTCTGCACAAAGGAAGAGACAAGAAAAACCTCAGCAAAATTCTTCCTTCTCTAGGACTTTGTTCTTTAGAAACTTAGTTTGAAGAGGTATGAACCAAATAAACATAAGGAGAGTTACACAATAATACATTCAATTTCATGTATGTGCTGATCCCGATTCTATTATTCAGTCAGCGTACTAACTGCAAGATTTCGTGATTTCCTTAGCATAATCCCAGTGTCTTCAGCTAATCCTGTGCCACTAAGACTATACATGAGAATACTTCATTGCAAGGCTGACAACCAGAGGGACAACCGAAGGGAGGTAGAGAGGAGTTACCCAACAATCACCATTTAGTACCACAGAGTCCATGTCCACTGCCAGGCCTTGCAAGCTCCCCACAGAGGTTCGGTTGATGATGCTCGTCTGGATGGAGTCCTTCAAGATGGCTGCCACACAGTCTTCGCAGAAGATGTGGCCCTTGGCGTGTGGCATGACAAACACAATCCAGAAGTGGACAAGGAGGCCACCTTTGTTGTTGCTGCTATTGTAAGAGTAGAAAAACGAGAGATTTAGAGATACTGCTTGGGAAGTCAACTTTCATAGGGAGGCAGAATCCCAATGGACAGGCTTAAGGTAAGGCCACAGAGTACGGGTAAAATCTAACTCCCTTCTCTGGGTAGTCAGTGGCTCCTATTTTGTGAATTGGAAGGGAAAATATCATGTGACATGCATTCTGATTATTATGTTGGATTTAGATCTATAGCCATTACCGAACTGCATTTCAATGGAAACTATACCATTTTTATGTATATCAGTATCCACTGCCATCAACAATAACAGGAATTACAGTGTTTGATACCTACTGCGTGCACAATAAATCTGCTTTGTCCCATTTATTATCGCTTGGAAGAAACTATGACAGTTTCACAGGTAAGGAAATTGAAGCCAAGTACTATTCAAAGTCACTCAACTAAGGGCTCAGATCCAATTTGCTTTTTGCTCTGACCAGAAAGCTTACAGTCCCAACTGCACAAATACTGCTGTGTTTTATGAAGTACAAAGACATGTTCACAGTAGTAAATAATTTGGAAAATGAACAGGAAGGAAAGTCCACAAGTTGCTTTCCTCCAAGGATCTCAGTGTCTTTAGTGAGTCAGAGGGACTGAATCTCCAGAGGTCAATAGGGGTAGATAGTAAAGGTGGGATCTGTTACACTGTGCACAAACGTTTCCTAAAACTTACTTGACCTTGAAATTCTTCTTTTCTTGCACCATCTCTAGTTACCACTTCTTCATTGAATGTATTTTGAGAAACCATGGCCTCAGCTTTACTTTCACCTCTAGCCTTTAGCCAATCTGGTCACCACACTTGTGCTGATAGAGAGTTCAAGAGTCCCACTTTGGGGAAAGGACAGGATTTGGTAGATGAGGAGCAAAATCCCTGCAGAGAGTTGGGTACCAGGTTATGCTAATAAGATATAACCCACAGCGACCCTCTACTCAAGATAGAATCTCAACCTTGAGCAGAAAATGTTAACAGCGAACACAGAAATCTCCAAGCATGGGGTATGCCTTACCTGACATCAGCAACAACGGACTGCTTGTAAAACTTGGAGAAGGCAGAGGTTGTGTAAACCAGGTTTATCTGAAAAAGAATTGAGGTGTCTGAAGTCTTTCAAACTCAGCTTACTTTCACAGCGCCTTGCAGGTTGGGGGTGAAACTCTGAAAGCTCGTAAGGAGAAAGGTCTTCCACAAATTATAGGTTCCTACCTCCAAATGTAGGCAGTATTTTATTAATTAAAATAAATTCTTACATTTGTAGCAACTCTTTATTTACTTCCTTTCATCCTGTTATCTATGGGGAAGAGTTAGCCTCATTCTTCATTGCTCTTTTCAAAGATTCAAATCAAGCTTAACCTCTGTGTGTTTCCCACTTCAAAGCTTAATTTTCTCCATAGATAACAAATTAAAGTCATTTAAATACCTTCTCACAAGTATTTAAACCAACCCACTGGAACTTGCAAGATTCAGGTGGGTGTAAAATGAACTGGGCTATGTGTTGGCCTCGCTAAACTACATGAGAGCAGTGTCTGAGCATGGACCAGGTGTGGCTGGGCTGCAACACTCAACAGAAAGAACCAGATTGGGTATGGGCCAGTTGGGCAAGGCCACTATTCCTGCAAGAACAAGAGGTAGACAAAGTCAGCCTGGACCAAGGCCCCACTGGTGTGCACAAATCTACCAATGGGAGAAGACCTGAAAGAGGAGCTTGGGGGACTACCTTGTCAGAATGCCGTCTCTGCAGGTGAACAAATGAACCAAGGTGAAGAGCAGCCCAGACCAACTCGGGTTACAGTACCCACTGGAAATCACGTGGGTCAGGTCTGGGGGTGGGCCAAGATGAGCCAGTTCATAATATCCACTGGCAGATCTGAGAACAGGAGGGGTCGGGTCAGGATACAACACCAGCCAGTTTACACTGGGGCCAGGACTGAGGGCTGGCTGGGTCAGACAAGGCTGTAACACCTACCAGCAGGAGCTGGAACTGGAGGCAGGCTGGACTGAGCCAGGCTGAAGAACCGGCTGGTAGATGCTCAGGTGAGGTGAGCCATGTCCATCTGGTGGGTGCTGGTTTCATGAGCCCTAGGGGCAGAGGGTTTTTGGACCTGCCTGTGTGGTGGGCGCTGGGTTAGTGAGTCCCTGGGGTGAGGAGTCTGGAGTAGCCCAGGTTGTCTGGCCCAAGGCCTTGGGCCCGCCCATGAGAACTGGTCCTCCTCAGTGGAAAAGACTGAGCAGTAGACGGCTAGCCTAGATTCACATGGAGGATTTGGCAGCCCATTGAGGCCTGCAGAGGGATCTGATATCATGGCAGAGGAAGGAGAACAGAACAAATTAGACAACTGCCCCAGTAAAATGAAGACCGCAAATATCTGAGCAAATGGAGATTCTAAGATCAACTGTGCCAGCCAATGGACAGGGAGAGTGTTTCCTTCCTTATCTATGGATCAATAAAAGAGTATTTCAGAACTATTCCAACCACCTGGCAGACCCCTTGGATTGTGCACCACATTGGGACTCTGGGTGGATACAGGAGGTTGCTTTTCCCCATCTCCTAGGACTTGGGTGTTTGGGAAGCTGGGTATGGCTTCTCCCTTTATCTCCCCTCTCCCCCTAGAAACAGGAGAAAGAAATAGAAAATTTGGAAACAATAATCATACCCACTCTTTTCTAATCCTGGGTCCTTCCCACCCTGATGTAAACATGATCTAAAGTAAAATAAATTGTTTTTAAAAGTAATGTTTATATCATAAAAACAGAACAGTATTTAAGCCACCCTCTACTAGAACACTGCCGCTGTCTTAAGGACATGTTCCCCTTTCAGCCACCAGGGGGCAGGCATGCCCAAGGCCAGCTACCCATCCATCTGCCTGCAGAAAGACATCTTAGCAAACGCTCAGCCCCTTTAAAACCCGGTAATCTCAAAGCAGAACTATGCCAACCAATTTATTTTCTTTGGCTAAGACATTTCTAAAATCCATTCTCTTGTCACAAATCTCCTGCCATAGTCACAAAGCCAACTACCTCATTGCTTACAATACAAAAATAAATGAATAAAAACAGCCTTAGAAATTATACAGATGTATAGAAAATATACAGATTTGGAGTTAAATATGTTGTACAACAAGGAATGTGATGGAGCAGGCATTTGTGCAGCGATTATTCAACACTAATGTTGTTCCCTCTCCGTCTGTGCTAGCTTCCTGTTGATATGCAGGGGTTGGCTCCAGTACTTGAGTCCCTGTCATCCACATGGAAAACCAGGGTTGAGTTCTGGGTTCCTGGCTCCAGTCTGGCTTAGCCCTGGCTCTTGGTGGGTAGCAGGAGGGGGCGCGGTATTTGGAGAGTGAGCCAGAGGATGGAAGACTTCGCTCTCCCTCTATCTCTCTTTCAAATACAATTCAATAAATACATGAATAAACACTTTTAGATTTTTGTTGCCTAAACTATCTGAACCTTCATTGTCTTTTTCCATTAGCAAACTGATCATCAAAATAGCACAATTAGGTTAATTTAAAGAAAAATTCCTACACATCAGAAGAATATTTAGTCATGTATTCAGTATAGCAGAGGCATTCAATAAGTAAAAATCTCTCTGACAACTGCTGCACAGCACTTTGCCATTCTAGTTTGCAAGGTGCCTGTCACTGTGTAACGTCATGGCTATCCAACCCCCTCTGTTACTGTGGAAATACAAACTGGCAGAAATGGAATGTTCCAAGAGCTATTAAGAATGTGCCAAGAAATATGAGCAGGTTTTTTTTTCTATTTTGCCAAGTTATTAAAAGTTTTAAAAATTATGCAGGAAAATAGTAAAAAAAAAACATGCATTTTATGTGGTGATTGTCTTGTCACATTATCCATAATTGAAAACAGCTTAAATATTCAACAAAAAGAGATTTGCTCTTTTTGAGGCCTTTGAAACTTATGTGCTTCAAAAGTATATTTGTATTTACTTGCAGAGTCGCATCCAGTGTAGTGTTAAAATCAGACTAAGAAACTAGTTTGAAACAATTCCTAACAGCTGTGTGGTCCAGTTTACAAGGGACCGTGTCTCTGATGATATTAATGAGGAAGGCTTTAATATGGTCTGTTATCCTTTTCTGAATTTCATCAACTTTATAATATCTTTTGGCCTACGATAAGGAAAAGTGAAGATCATTTTATGCAAAAAACAAAAGGGAAGACAGTGACCCCCATCCCAGTACTAATCAGGCCCAAACCTGCTTTGCTTTGCTCAGCGTGCTATGCCACAGCACAAGTAAATACACTATCAACACAATGGGCAGAAATAGATGCATGTGGATCACACACAACTTCTGTTCTGGAAGGTATCTGAAAAATCAACTGATCAAATTCCTTTATTTTATAAATGGGGATAAACAAGTTCAGAGAATCATTTTTTTTACATTCATCAGAAAAAATAGCAATTCCTTCATATAGCAAAGATAAACAAAAAAGCCCACATTTCCTTCTGTCCACTTCCTAAATCCACTCTGCCTCGCTTTCCTTGCTCACTGTGACCCGTGAGATCCCCGCCACCCGCGCGGCCCTGCCCCCATGGCCTCACCACTTGCTGCACAGTCCGAGCCACTGAGAGGAATTCCCTGGACTCCTTGTGTCGGTGCTCAGGAAGAAACTCCATGTTGGTGATACGAAACATGCCAACGAAGTAAAAAGCATCTCTACTTTCCGTCTTACCTGTGAAGTAGGAGACAGCATGAGGTTTCTCCCACCTGAATGGCAGCAGGGCATTGTCCCACCTGGTCACTGGTGGGTTTCTAAAGTGATCCTCTGATTTCGTTTTCTTGACATATTGCTCCTGTTGGGGACCATCTACAAGGCCCACAGCCTCTGTGCATTCCCTCCCTTGGGAACATGCCCCACAATACTGTCACTTTCATCTGCTTGTCATTTGATATTCAAGCTTTCTTGCTAGCCTCTAACACCGTATCTGATGAGCTTTGAAGGGAAGGTGAAGGTGGGGTGGGAGGTAAGGAGGAAAGAGGGAGAGAGTAGGAGAGGGGAAAAAAGGAGGAAGAGTGGGAGAGAAAACGCTTTTAGTGCATGGAAACACTAAACAAATAAATGATACAGAACTTAAAAAGTGAATGGAGTGAATTTGAGTGAGGGGAAGCAGCTTCCAGGGTCACATTAGCCTCAAGCAGGTTGAGACTGTGAAGGGTAGGGGACAACACAGGGAAAGGGGCAGGAGGCTGAACTCCTGCCCTACTCGCACAAGTTCTGGGGCCTTAGACACACCACGTGGCCTCACCAGTTCCCCCTATGAAACAACTTTGTTCTTATGTTTGTTTTAGATGATTAATTTATTGATTTGACTTCAGACTCCGAAGTGTGCTTGAAACCTAGGACCTCTTTCTAGAGGCTCACATGTCCCTCTCGCATCAATAACTACACTCAAAATCAAGACCAAAATAATGTAACAAAAATCAATTTCGCCTTGACTCAGATTATGCTCATCCAACTCAAGGTCAGACCTACATACTTAACCCTCTGTGATCTTCCTGATTGTTTATCCCTCTCATTTCTTTAGCTCCCCCCGACCACCACCACCACGACCAGAGTCCACAAATCAAAGCTAAGCTACCTCCTGTTCATTCTTATCTGTTCATAATCTACTCATAAGCATTTCCCTTTGATATTTACACAACCAATAAACTACTAATGTACAATTCAAAATGGTGTACAAAAATAGCTACACAAATGGAAATGCATCATTTGAGAGGTGGCAGAGAGTTGGAAATCTGTAGGCTTGCTCCGTGTTGCAGTGGCTTGTATTTAACTCAGCTGCCCATTGACTGGACTTATGCCACTGATCTGTTTCTTGAGGACAGAAACCAAATCTTGTTTACTGCTCTGTCCTCCTAGCCTACCACAGCTGCCAGTATACAGCAAGTACTCCCAAGATGTGCTGAACAAAATTTTGGGGAATTGGCTCATGAAACCTTCACTAGAATTCATTCCTGGACTGGTTGGATGCTTCTCCTCTGGGATCAGAAAATTATCAGAGTAAAGGAGTCAACCTACACCTTCCAGCACTGAACTGTGAAATTTCCCAAAGTAGAAAATGAGTATGTGAGCCTTTCAGAAATGTATCTTGGTGGGCTGATGACCTATCCTGTGCCTCCCCCTGCCCCAAAAAAGTAGAAAACCAACTTGTATAGATGTACATGACCTGACCTGTTCATGACAATATTCATTAATTCTTTGTCTATTCGTTTTGTTTTCCAATCATATTTTGATGGCTTTCAAAGTATGTATAGGACCACAGCTTCTCTGCTCACAACACTTCTACCATCAGATGCCACCTCCACATTAATAATTTTCCAGTTCTCTACATACAGCAACTGAGAATCCAGTGATGGAATTCAGCTCTGACACTAGTGTCCTGGACTCAGCTTTAGGCCCCATGGTTAAGGGATCAGTCCCGAGGCTGCCCCCACTTCAGATGCCACGGAGGAGGTGGCGGGGGGTTGGGAGGGTGCCTCAGGCTGCTCGCTTGTTCATGCCACTGTCCACCTTGGTTACAAACTGAGAGTCGTCCCATGACCCTTGGGCTTCATGATTTTCTACAACTCACAAAATTCAGAGAGACACTTAACTTACTACTGCTGGTTTATAGAAAAGCATGTTGTAAAAGACACACACAAACAGACAGGTGAAGTGCACAGGGCAAGGAGGGAAGTGTCCAAAGCAAAAGTCTCTGGCTTGCAGAGCTGACACAGGCCTTTTCCTCACCAGGAATATGTTCGCCAACTTGAAAGCTTCCCTGATATGCATTGGCAGTGCCATTTATATAAGCATGACTGATAACAGCATTGCATGTGGATGATTTCATCCAAACTCCAATCCCTCCCCAAAGGTGAGGGGCCCCACATAGTGCAGGGTTGGTTACTCAGACTACCACTGGATTTTCTGTCACCAGTCATCTCATTTACATACAAAAAGACTCAAAAGCCCTGTGTTAGGAACCAGGGACGAAGAGGAAACCTTACAGCCAAGGGTGTTCCTGCCCTCTTCACTCAGGAGAGTATAAGAAAAAACCTTGTGCCAGACATGGCGACGACAACCAAATGTGCTTTGTATTGCTACAGGACAGGGATGCTGAATCAAATACACTAGCCAGTAGAGGATGGAGACTCCAGTGCAAGTCAACAAGTGCTATGGTTACTGAATTTCGTGAGTCAGTACTCTGTACGAAATAGCTTAGTTATGACACCTGTCCAAAGCAATCCATCACATCAACAAAAGCATAACAACAGGGAAGAGCAAGATGCGTGTGTGAAACGGAGCTCAGGGAGCTGGAACTGTAATGTTGCCTAGAAACAGGAGGCAGTGGGAGGAATGAGAAAATGAAACTGTTTACCATTCCATTCACTTCGAACAGCTGTAAACGCATTACATTTCTGAACTAGTCCGAATCTCCTGAAAATTCTCTGCAGTTCTTCCCATCCTATTCCCTCTTTCTTCTCTGGCTGCTCTCCACAAGTAAAGAGATAGTGCTAAGGAAGACGTGTGAAAGAGAGTTCCAGCTTCTTTTTCCTTGAATCCTTTACACGAGGGGTGCTTACGTCACCACCTCGGGGACTCCATCCTGGATTAGATTTGCCTCTTGATCCAGCCCCTGGCTTCCTAGCCAACCTCCTGCCAATGAGCATCCTGAGAAGCAATAACTGGTACTCAAGTACTTGGGTCACTGCCACCCACACGGGAGATGCAGATTAAGTTCTTGACCCTTGACTTCAGCTTGACACAACCCTGGCTGTTACAGGCATTGAATAAGTAAACCAGCAAATGGAAAGTGTGTGTGTGTGTGTGTGTGTGTGTGTGTGTGTGTGTGTGTGTTTCTAGATTCCAAATAAGTAAAATTAAATTGTAAAAAAAAGTTATTAACATGATTTTTACAACCCCTGAACACTAGTTTTGGAAATGGTCTGTTAAGGAGGAGAATCTCATGAGAAATCCCAGGGGCAGGTCAGGCTCACAAGGACTCATCCCACTACCTCTAAGCCCAAAGAGCCAGACACTGTAACTTACTGATGTAGAGCCACAGAAGGGTCCAGGCTATGATGGCTAGCACAAAGAGAAATGCTGTAAGAAGGATGATTTTGTTTTGGACATTCCAAAAGGGAGCTTTCTTCTGGCATTGCTTCTTGGGCTTGGCTGTGCTTATGGGTCTTCGTGGCGGTCGTCTCGCTGGAGTTTTTCCTTGGCCACTGACCACCTGAACTGAGATATTGGATATCTTTGAAAGGAAAAAAAAGGACATTATCAGTTAGAAGTAGTCTAGTAGTAGCAGCTTAAAAGGGATTATCCAATCAGGAGACCTTGGTGCTAAAAGGTCTAAATGTACCAAATGTTTTATATAAAGATAGTAAATTGATGTGCATCACAGCATGGAAGTGAAATTAGAAATAGGAGGCATGGTAAGTTCCCTAAGGAAACTGTTTCCACAGCCTCTCCTCAACTCTGCAGAACAGATGCTCCAGGGAAAGGCCTAAATTCCACCAAGCAGGGTAAACTAGACACAAGGATGTGAAGGTTCTAGGAGGGTAAATGACTACATACACACAGCTGTGTGTGTAAACGTGCTTCAAATGTTTGCACCATGCTTCTCTTGTAGTCAGTTCTTTCTGGGCTGAGACAGATGGAAAATAAGCATTCTACACAGAAATGAGCCAATTTCTTAATTCTGGCTTCAGGATGGTAGGAAGGGAAAGGTCATGTGACAACATGATTTGTGTAGGGTTGTAGCATAGGAATCAAACATGCTTATTTTACCATTGCCAGTCACTGAACTGACTAGTGACTGTGTCATTTAATCATCAAGGAGCAAACACCTTATTTTAAAAAGAAGATGAAGTAGAAGACTCATTATATCGATAAGTTATTGCCTGAAGTGTAACAGTATGCACATGTAAGAGGGAAAAGTACATTATTTAGCTGTTTCCCCTTCTCCTCTTATTTTCCTCTCCTCTACCCCCTGTCATTTGATGCTGTGAATTCTTTAATAATGTATCTGAGAGTTTAGCTTCTTTGACCGAGAGATTTATACATGTCAGGGTAACTAAACTCCAGTGATGAAATAACTCTTAACCACACATTCTTTTAATGACAATGACCCAGAGTACCAATTCCAAAGGAATCATCTCTCATGTGCGTTATCACTAAGAGGCTGCTCCTTCTCTTCCTCTTCCCTTCAAAGTTCATGGCTCCCCCATCTTTAACCCTACCAACTAATGGGATAGGATGTGGCCAAGTACACTCTGAATTATTCATAACTCCTCATTCGTTTTGCCCAGCACCCTTGTCAACTCCAGGAGTGAAACACCTCTGTCTTCCCTGGTGAAACTACACAAGGCCAGACTTACGTGATGGAATGTGCTAGAAGTGTGGATGCTGTTTCTAAAGAGAAAACATCCCACGGTGGGGTGGGGTGAGTTGACCGTGGTGACAAGCTCACATGGAGCACATTCCCCATAGAACCCGAAGAAGGAAGCACACAGAAATGCCAAGCCATACTGAGCTGACAAGGCCACAGTTGCATCTTAAGTGCAAGAACACATTATGGGTAGTCTCAGTTAGCACTGATTAATTTTTAAAATGGAATTTGTACGGCATGATTTCCCTGGAGTTTTACAAAAAGCAGTTGCAGATCAATTGCCAGCTGCAGTACTTTAAACAAGCTCACATTTGTAAATCTCCATTAAGCAACATAAGAAAATAAGAAATAAAGTCTTTTCTTAAGGTCCCTTTTATTTTACAGGCATACCATTTCTTTTTAGGAAAAGGGGTAGCCAGGACTGTCATTCAAGTGAGAGAAGGTTTCCAGTTCTCTACTTACTTTCAGGTCAGCAGGTTTGGGTGAAGCCTCACTGCTTTCTTTATCCATTTTCAGATGCTCTGTGTGTGATCAACCAAGGGGCCAGTTTTTTACCCCCTCGCTTGCTCTCTGGAGAAGAACTGAGACAACAGGCACTGCGTTCAAGCTACCTTTCAGCAGAATGGAATCAGTTTACTTGCACCGGGTCCAGTTCAGAAACTGAAACTGCCCTGCTGCTATATTGTGAATGTTAAAGGGACCTCAGCACTCAGCTTTGCACTCCAAAGTAATGGTCTCTTCATCCGCTTAGGTAAAAGCAGGGCCTCTCACATCCAACCTCCCTTACAGTGTCCTTATAAGAGAGCTCTAGAATGTAAACATTTTCAAGTAATGGATCAATTTGCCTGCGTCTTCTATAGAATTGAAAGATATCTAATTGCTATCCCTGAGTGCCTCTAAATCCCTACACCCCTATTTCCTGCGCTTAGTGTCCCCCCCACAGGCTCCAGATGGCTCCACCCCTGCCCTCAATTCCCTAGCCATGCTCTCTAAAAACCCACATGTAAGAGAGGGGTTTTTTCCTCCTATTTTTGTCCTACCATTGACTTTGAACCTGGGGCCCTTTCTGATGTGTATTTCCCTTTCCCAACTCTCACCTTCTCAGTGTCAACATGAGGTAAATCCAGGAGTAGGAAGAGCAACTCTGAAGGGAGAGCCAGAACTCTTCTAAACAAACGGAGAGGAAAAGGAAGAAGGTTGTGTTTGCTTGGGCACCAACACATCCCTTCCTGTGGGCTCTGGGCACCCATGGGAAACTGATTAGTTTCCCTCTAAGGGGCAAACACTGCCTTGCTGGTGTAGATACAGACGCTGGTCTCAAGGGCTACACCCGTCACATGAGAAACAGTCTGCACTGTGGTGAGAGAGTAGGCAAGTTGCCCAATAGTTGAAATGTGACCTAAGGTGGGTAAAAAAGACAGAATGACAGACTATGTCATGTACAAATTCGCTTCCTAGGTTTGATTATTTATTAGTGACACGAATGAGATAATTAACAATGCTCTCGGCTATATAAGATTAAGGAATTTTTTTAAAATGGCTTCTTTAATGACTCAAGCTTTGTAATTTCTTGCTTATTTCTAAAACTCCCCTTTCATTCATGTTGGTAAATGAGCCAGGGTCCCTGGCAAGGTTAAGTTAGACTTCTCCGGGCTCTTCTTTCTATGGCACAGATCCCTTGGCCCCTGCTGTGGTGGACGTATTAGTTTGGGGGTCACCTAAAGGCCCATTTATTAAAGGCTTGGTCCCCTGGGTGGCTCTCTCTGGAGATGAAGGAAACTTTAGGAGATGGAGCCTCGGGTGGTGTCCGTGTGTTGCTGGGGACATGCACTGAGCAGGTAGCTCTGGTTAGACGGTTGTCACATAAATCTGAGTTTGGGCCCAGACTGCGTTTCTGTGCCTGACTCAAAATAGGAACACTTACTCCCATACAGCTTCCTTCTTCGGCTTTCATTGTCTTCAACAGAAGCCAAACTTTCCTGGACTTGACTCTCCAAAAGTGTGAGCTTAACAAACATTTTTACCTTCATAAGTAGATTGTGTCAGTTACTTTGTTAACATAGCAACAACTGACTAAGAAAGGAACCCAGCTCTCTGTTCTGCTGTTTCTCATCTTTGAGTAATGCCCGTACCCTGTCTAGCTCATTCTGGGAAGGTTTCTGCCAGATTATGTTAGCAGATATTCCTCTGTTGATATCTGATCACTCTCAATATTTGATGGGGTTCTAAATTCTTTCCCCTTGATGTGTAAATCCTTGGTTTCCCTTTACAAAAGTTTCACTAGTAAGTTTACCATTTGGCACTGAGCTAAATTCTACACTGAAATTTCTTTTCCAGTAGAACCATAGGCTTGAAAAAAAATTGTCTTTATGGTCTCAATATGTATAATGCTGTTTTGTTTTTCTTTTAATGTCATGGTGAGGAAACAATGACAGCCAATAATAAAGGATAAATTACATGTACAGAATTTACACAAGCCATAAAATCAATTGAAGGTTATTTTATTATCATTTTGCCTATAGTTCTAGGAAATATCAGTGATGAGATAATGCTACCTGAGAAGCATCTTTGTTTGGTATATGAATTTTGATAACATCTACTTTAGCTTCAAATAGGCAGAGTGTTGTCTTAATAAATAGCAAACTCTGTGTAGAACTTAGAAATCTATGGAGAGCTTCAACCATACAGTTGAGTTCAAATGTTAGACTCTGTGATTGCCATTTATTTCTCCTTTTTTAAAGATTTATTTTTATTTGAAAGGCAGAGTTATATAGAGATGGGAATACATGGAGAGATTTTCCACCTACTGGCTCGTTCCCCAAGTAACCGCAAAGGCCAGGCTTGCTTCAAGCCAAAACCAGGATCCAGGAGTTTCTTCCAGGTGAGCAGGAACCCAAGCCCTTGGGCCATCTCCCACTTCTTCCTCAGCTGTATTAGTAGGGAGCTGGATTGGAAATGGAGCAGCCTGGACTCAAACAGCTGCCCACATAGGATGTCAACACAGGAGGCAGTGGCTTAGCCTTATATGCCACAACCTCAGCCCAGATATTCATTTCAAGAGAAGGTTTCTAATGGTCCAGGTTACTTAGGCATAGTTAGGGCAAAGTCTTTGTCTCCAACAGCTCCAATGATTCTACATACTCCTGCATTTGAACAGACAATTAGGCACAAGCAATAGTAGTTCCGTGACTGCAAAGACAAAAATCACAGTTTCAATTATTTCAGTCTTTCCATGTGATCACTCTGGGTTAATTTATACTTAAATTTGGAGTATGAACTGTATGGTATAAAACTATTGCATGTGTAAATATTGTGTGTGTAAAGTTTGTATGCAAACTTTATTAATTTTATTTTTATATTTAAGTTTTAAATTTTATGTATGTCCATTTTATTTTAAAGTCAGGAAAATGGTACAACAGTTGAGACTTGGAGCTTACAACAGCTGGGACTTGGGACAGGTGAAACCTTGAATGTGGAACCCAATTTAAATCTTTCCCATAAGAATCAGGGAATCAAGTACTGCAGTTGTCACTTACACCTCGCAGAGTACACAGTGGCAGAGCGATGAGTGGAGAGCAGAGCAGCCAGGACTCCAGCCAGTCACTCATGTACTAGATGCAGATGTCCCAAGCAGTATCGTCCCTTCTGTGCTGAATGCCCACCTCAACTTTATTTTTACTAGCATAATTATATATACAAAGTCAAGTAAACTTTTTCCCATTTTTTCTAACTGTTCATTTATTTTGCTTCATGACTCTTATCAAAAATAATTCCATTGTACAGTGGGAAAGTTTGTTAAAAAATGATTCACTTGGGGGTTCGAGGGGTGGTGCAGCATGCTAATACTCCGCCTGCAGCACCGGCATCCCATATGGGCGCCTGTCTGAGTGATGGCTACTCCACTTCCACTCCAGCTCCTTGCTCTTGAAAAAGCAGCAGAAGATGGCTCAAGACTTTGGTCCCTGATCCCATGTGAGAGACCTGAAATAAGTTCCTGGCTCCCGGTTTTGAATCAGCTCAGCTATGGAAATTGCAACATCTTAGGGGAGTGAACAAGCAGATGGAAGATTCTCTCTCACGCATACACACACACTCTCTCTCTCCTCCTCTCTGTAAATCTGCCTTTCAAACAAAAATTAACAAATCTTGGAATAACTTTTTTAAAAAAATATATCTACTTTCATTAGAACTGCAGATCCACAGAGAGAAGAAAAGAAAAAGATCCTCCACCTGCTGGTCCACCTCCCGAGTGGCTACAAAGTGCCTCTGGTCCATCTGTCTGTTTCCATGGCTGGGCAAACAGTAGAAAATGGCCCAAGTGTTCGCGCCTTTGCTACCTACACGGGAGACCCAGAATAACTGCCCGGCTTCATGCTGGCCCAGCCTCATCAGTGTGACCATTTTGTGGAGTAATCAGCAAATGAAATACCTGTGTGTGTGTGTGTGGTGTGTCCTTATCCTAGTAACTCTACCTTTTGAATAAACAAATATGTCAAAACTATTCACTTCTAATAGACAGATGCATGATAAAACAAGTATGACAAAACATTAATGCTAGAATATAGGCCTGCGCACATACATTTACGTCATCAAATTCTTTCACCTGCATTTTAAAAATATTTCTTGGTAAAATGTTGGTGAGGAAACAATCACTTGTGGGAGCCAAGTACGCACGATCAACACTGGTTTTAAAGTGGGAGCAAAAGGCTAGGGTTCAAGATAAAACTGCTCTTGTTGCTTCTATTGGTAAGGCAAATCCAGGACAGGATTCCATTAAGGCAGAGCAGGTAGTGACAACATCGACATAGAAATCAGTGTTTCCCATCAGCAGCAGCTTGAAAGACAGTGGGAAAGTTTCTGTTCCTTCCCTAGAAGCAAAGGTCCCTGCTCTAGAAGCAAAGGAAAGGAAGAGTGTAACAGCTTGGCTTGTCAAGCGGACTGTGTGCAGTGACCTGGAAAAGAAGAAGCCTCTCTCCCACAGCTGCAGTAGTGGGTGTCGGGCATACATATTTAACCAATTCATGCATTCGGGATATTAACATTTTGGCTTTAAAGGGTTCTGTCTTCAGAGACACGCGTGTCCTAAAAACCTGATTATGGGTCAGGTTATTCCTGTAACATGAGTGCAAGTCTGCCCCTCCCCCATCCCTTAGCATTAGAAGCTACTTTGCGGGAGTAGTTGATGCTCCCCTCCAGGACCAGCAGGAGTGAGGCCAGCTCATCGGCCACCGAGTGCAGTTGTGCTGTGAGAACGAATGTCCACTGCCAAGTTGCCATCTGACTGCCACTCACCGCTGAGCTCTTTGCTGAAGGGGAGCACATCCTGAGGAAGTGAGCCATTGGCCAAGACGCTAGGATGTCTTCCAGTCATTTGGCACTACTGCCCTTAGTGTCCCCATTCAGAGGGCACAGCAGTGACCCTGGTTGCCTTTTTTTTTTTTTTTTTGCTCACTCACAGAGGGCATGATCCCAACTATTCATGTCCTATCAGATGAAACCTTTAAAAATGA